GCCCATCCTCCAGCTTGAGTGTTGGCTGTTTCCGTTGTTGTAGCTGCTGTTTCTGATATGATTTCTTCGCCTTCTTCCACCGCCTGAGGTCCAGTGTCCGCAGGGTTCGTGGTCGAGGCAACGGGTACGGCAAGGGCGCGGAAGGTTCCATCGAGGCCGGGTTGTTGGTAATCGGTCTCTTCTGGGTGACTCCATCTTGGCGGCGACGGGTGACCCGGAGGGTCAAGAACAAGGATGTGTTCGTTGTCGCCGGTGGTTCTGGGTGACTCGAAGTCGAGCACGAAAACGCCTTCCACACTCGTTGATTTTCCGATGAAGATGCCGTTGTATATTAAATGCATCTCGTCTTCTGTTGTTTGCAGGCCAACCCCGCACTTCATCAGCTGGTGAAGCGACAAGAGATTGTACCGGAGTTCTGGCACGATGAGGACGTCGCGTATGTGGATGCAGTAGCCGGTGTCGTGTGACTCCAGTTGCACTTGTCCGCGGCTTCTGGCGTAGATGGTCTGGCTGTTGGCGACGGTGATCTCCACTTCGTTGAAGAGTCGCTCTCTGTTGAGGATGAAAACATCTGAAGACACCATGTGCTGGCCACAGCAGCTGTCCAGGTACCACGTGTTGACTTCTTTTCTTGCCTTGGCCAGGTTAGCGAGCTTCGGAGTGACGTGATGTTCCATGTCGTGATCATTTTCGTAGTCGTAGTAACATTCTTCGTCGTCGTGTACGATGCGTGCAGGTGGCGACTCCTGGATCCACTCCGGCGCTTCCCAGTCAAACTGCATTCGTCCGACCGTCAGCTCGTCGTAGGTTGGATCATTCTCCTCTTCTTATTCGACTGATCCTTCGGGCCGCTCCAGAGGCGGGTCTGCGAACATGTCTTCCCAGCTGCCGAAGAAGCGATAGTGACGGTTGGGGCGAGGCGGTCCACGACGCACCATGCAAGTCAAGACCTTGCTTTTCCCCTTATCGCTTGTGTTCGCAGAGAGACGTGCCGGGGCTTGGGACGTGCTGGCTACGGCTGGCGGCGACACAGTTTGGTTGCGCGCTACGGCTCCTCCTTGCTGGTGAGCAGCGGTACCTTTCTGGTTGGTGTTGTTGCCGTTCAGCTTCCAGCAGTCTTGAATCATGTGCCCAGTCTTCTTGCAGTACTTGCAGAAGAGTCTTTTCTTGTCCGGTGGCGCTTGAGCGTAAAAGGCGATTTTCTCCTTCTTGTTGCCTCGTTCGTTGTACAGGTCGATTTCCTTCTGCTCGGAGAGAAGCGTGGAGCAGAGGGCAGTTTTGCTGAGGGTTCCTTGCGTGCGAAGGAGTGACTTGCATTGGCGCCATTCCGGGCTCAATCCAGCGAGGATGATAGTGACGAACATATCGTCAGTGAAGTTTCCGCCGCTTTTCCTGAATTGATCTCTCAGGTTCCTGCAGCGGTTGATGTATGGGCCGGCCTTTTCGCCGGGGAACATCTTGACGTTGTTCAGCTGGTTGAGCAGGCGACTAAGTGTCACCGAGTCTGTTGCCATGTGGCAGGTGCGCAGGTGTTCCCAGGATTGTTGCGCGGGCGCCCATTCGTTCTTGAAGGGGCGAATGCTCAGCTCTTCTTCAGGCGACAGGTTTCGTATCAGGACGGTGAAGGCCAGGAGTGATTCGTTGTAGTACTGACTCTTCTCCTTAGTCGGAAATGCGTACGATCCGTCGTAATACATCCAGATCTGAGCGCCTTGAGCCAGTAGCTCAAATTCAAAGCTCCACGTGTAGAAATCTTGTCCGTCGAAGGGCTTGGTAGTTCTGAGCTTCGACGTGGAGAGGAACTTGCTCTGCATTGAGGCCATTGCCTCGTAATGTGATTGTTGTGCTTGAGCAGATCCTTGAACTCCGCGGTTGTCGAAGGTGAAGGATCGCTCAGATCCAGCTCCTCGAGGATCGGGAGGTCTTCGGGCGTAGCTTGAGCCGTCAATGCTCATTGGCTGATGGCTCTCCAGTGCGCTGATGCGGGAAATCAGTTGCTCGAGTAGAGCTGTGTCCACAGTCGTCGTAGTAGAGGCGACATTGGTGGAGGGTTGCACTGGATTTTCTCCAGTTTCTCCGCAGTCTGCGCCTGGCATGTTGATGCCCTTGATGTTGAGATTAAGTTATGAGGAAGCCCTTTTTGGAGGCCTTTTAGCAGATCCTATAATCCAAACTAGCTCTCATACCATGTTAGAGTAAGGATCTTGGATAGGATAGGATCGTGCTTTGGTAGAGTTTTGGTAGCGGAAGTCTTGTAGAACTCAGATCATGACCAAGTTGATGACCAAGTTGATTAAAAGATAGAATACAAGGAATATAAATAGTCCTAGTCTAGCCATGTACTCTAAGGGGTACATTCCCTTATTATAACTGTTTTACAGGCATTTCTACAGTGACTCTGACTGTTGTGCTGCTTTTCTTGTTACTGAGTCGCTGCATGTAACCTGTACGGTTACGTCTGTTGCCATTCCTCGATGGTAGGTCAAACGTCGGTCCAGATGGTCAACAGTCGCGACAGTTGACTCTTGCGACTGTTGACCTTCCTGCCCTTGATACGGGCTGATCCGATATCTCGGTTGTTGCTGCTTTGATAAAGTCGGGTGCGATACTGCTGCACCTACGGGAATGCTAAGTATAATTCCCTTCACACTCCAACATAATATACAGAAATTTATTGAATACTCAACCTTTTACAAAGAAAATTTGTATCGAGCGCGAATTTTGTAAATATTTAACCCTCACGTCGACCGTGGACATGCTTATCTCGGACAGAAGAAAACTAAAGCCCCCTCAGTTGATGTGACAGAATTATCAACCCTAAACATTGTGCGACAAGGTGTTTTGTGTTGATTTCATCCAGATTGGATGCCTTTCCGTAGGAAGTTTATTTTTGTTGATGCAATCCAGCGGGCAGCAAGCTTCGCTGGGTGGTGTGGTTCGTCCGTTGAAATAATCCAAGCGGAAGGCATCATCCCTAAACATTTGACGACTTCCCGTATTTAGGGTTAATATTGTTCAGGTTATCCAAGCGTTTTTTCTAGTTTTGTTGGGTGTGTTCGGGTGAGGTGCTGGTGGCGACATTGTTTCTGAATTGTGCTTATAAATAAATAAAAGAATATATGTAGTTACTATACTGCGAAATTGTCGGTTGATTACGTTTGCGAACCGCTCCTGGCATTATTTGAGTACCAATGATATTGGCCACAGTACATGGCTCAACTCGAGGCTTCGAAGAACAAAGCGAATCCAAACCAGAGGGCTTCAACCTCACATCAATTGAGACTGTCGGGATTTACTCTCGTTATTGTAAATTCAGGGCTGTTTAAAACAAAGCCTATGATTTTTAAACAAGCTACTAGCTTGGCTAGTATTGTAGTTGATAGCCGTGTTCACGTAAAACCAATATGTCTAGGCTAGGGTTTGGCCGGCATGCTTCTGTGTTTCTCAAGGTTTCAATTCTCGCTCCCTACTTATCCAAGCGTTCTAGGGCGGAAAGTCTTCCATACTGTACTCTACAGCTTCGTGTCCCAGAGACAAGGCAACTAGACAGGCCTGCATAGTGTATCACCCAAAGATGCACATCATGTGGACGGAAATACTCCTGTAGAACAAGCACAGCAGCCGACGGGCTGGGATGCGTCTCCCACCACCACACAAGCACACCATCGTGGTGACTGGGACGCAAACCCAGTGACTGGGATGGGACAAAGCACACCCCTACTACTGTAGGGGTGTACAGGAGTATGCCAGCGAGTGACCACCATCCCCATGATCTCCGTCACGATGCGACGGAAAGAAGTCATGCAGCGACCAGGCCTGCGACCACCTGTGCGACGGAGAAGGAATCGCCCTTGATTCTCGTTCATTTTCTGCGGTACAGCAGACGATGACTAGGAGGCCTGGGAGGCAACTTGACAGAGTCAATCAAGGCTTGAACCCTAAGATGCAGTCGAAAAACACGGTGGACCACTGCCACTGCTGCCAGCAGTGGTCGGATCGGACCTGATCACACGACTGTCCATGATATGCAAAGAGAGAAGCCGACGTTCTGAGGACGCGGCACCTCCAGCACCATCCTGCGATCGATCCTGCGCAGGATCGAAAATTTGAGGAGTTTGAAATGGTGCTGAAAGCATTAAATGCTTTTAGCAGGTTTTCAGTGCGGTGGAATCAGCGATCCTGACATCGATCGTGCAAAATTGCTAGAGGTGCCGCGTCCTGAGGCTCTGAGAGCCCGCCAGGCTCTCTGGCAGTCCCAGGCTCTCTGTGAATCACGGGGCGTGAATCTGAATTGAGATGACGATGAGAGAAAATCGTCTACTAGCAGCAGATGACCAGGCAGCCTACTCGGCGCATGACATGCCCCCCCGTGGCAAATATACACATGAAAACGGGCAGCAGTAAGGCCTGCGAGTCATGACAGAGAGGTGACCTCTCAGCATGATGTGGGGACATGCCTGCCATTTTTTGCCGGCCGGCAGCTAGCTCTGAGCCGGAAGACGTGAAGAGTTTTCTGTGAATGAGGCAGCTGCAGTGCTCATTCTTGGAATGTCCAGCAAACTCCTGCGGATTCCAGAATCAGAAAAGCTCGGTAGCTCTTTTCACAGAGCTACTATCTGCCAGTTAGTCCTGCCGGGACCTGCTGCTTGGTCACGCCTCTTGGCTTCTTGGTTCAGTGCCGCCATGTCTGACAGGAAAATGGAGGTCTGGTTCGTATCCATGTGCTTCTGCCTCGCGGTTGCCTTCAACCAAGCTTCGGCTATCAGCGGAGGGGCGTCTGTTCCGACTGTGCTCAAGGTTGGAAGGAAAGAGAAACTCGACCTTCCTGGAACCGTGCCCCACACCCCTGGCCACAAGACTTTTCGGAGTCCGCTCGGGTAATACTTCAATTTCCAATATGCGTTTTTTTTCCTCTCTCTCTTCAAGAGTTTTCCGCTAAACAATATAAAGCTTACCTGTTGCTGTTGTGCTTGCACTGTCCATGTGGCTTGCTGTGGCAGATGGAACAGCTGGAACCACGTCCAGTGCAATATCACACAAGACATTGTCAAGACTGCAGGTGAGGGCTCTCGCCATGCTATTTGACTTTTGAGTCGGCTCAAAAGTCAAGATGGAATGGAACAGCTGGAACCACGTCCAGTGCAATACCACACAAGACATTGTCAAGACTGCAGGTGAGGGCTCTCGCCATGCTATTTGACTTTTGAGTCGGCTCAAAAGTCAAGATGGAATGGAACAGCTGGAACCACTTCCAGTGCAATACCACACAAGACATTGTGAAAACTGCAGGTGAGAGGTTGTCACCATGTTGCAGGTTCAACCTTCAACAACTCCTGAGCAGTTCTCCTGAGCATGACAACAACTCCGTGTTGCTGCTTCAAATGCTGTACCAATGCTACCTTCACCAGTAGCACTGGCTGCCAGACTACTACTAGTACCACTGGTATCTAGTGCCTGCAGCAACTGGGCTTGTCTTTTTTTCATTCTGCAGTTTATTTCCCAACCTCAACCCATGCCAGCCTTGATTTTCGGCACGCCAGCCGTTAACCAGCTCTCTTGCCCCTGTCCTTGTGCTCTTGCGCCTTGCAGCGGACAAGCTCGTGTCATCTGGGCTAGCAGCCCTTGGCTATGTCTATGTCAACATAGGTGAGTCAATTCTACACCCTTCCCATCCTGCACAGACTCCATTCTTCGTATTATAGTCAAGAAGCCGCGGCTGCATTTTCATTTCAGGCTACTCACTTATTTTACTCCTTCCTTGGAGTTGGTTATTTGTCTTTATTATCCACTCTGTAGAGTTCACAGAGATTCCACGTCCATGGTTTCCATTCCATTCCAAGCTTGGCTTATTTGGATGCACGTTGTCGCCTCGACTGACCAGTATTTTGTTTTCCTCTCACTTGCCTGTGCAGACGATTGCTGGCAAGCCGACTTCCGTGATCCAAAGGTGGGTGCTTCAATCAAGTCCACACCCGTTCAATCAAGGTTGTAACGCCTCAGTCTCTAGCACCTGCTCTCAAGTGAATGATCTGCTACTGGAGCATGCTGCTCTGGCTACTGTGAGATGACACTACGTATGTTTTTCTAGAATTCTCAAAAAACATATGAAGGCTCTGCTACTGGAGCATGATGCTCTGGCTACTATGAGACGCCATTACACTCCTCTTGGAGACGTGTCAACTTCTCTGACATCTCAACGCTTTGTTGGCAGTATGGGCAACTTCTGAGAAGCCTCAACGCTCCGTGTCGTATCATGCCAACTTCTGAGTCATCTCAATGCTCTGTATGGCAGCATGGAAAGAAATCTGACGATGCAATGCGCCATATGGCAGCATTTTACAGACGTCTCAACTCAACTCTGCTGTTTGGCAGCATGCTACCTTCTGAAACATCAAAACGGTCCATATGGTGGCATGGGTTTTTTTCTGATGTTTCAACACTCCATGTGGAGCCATGCCAGCTTCTCAACGCTTGGTTTGGCAGCATGGAATCTTTTTAGATGCCTCAACACTCCATGTGACATCTTCTGACTTATGAGACGTCACGTCGCTCCACATCACTGCGTGTCAACGTCTGCAACTTCTCAACGCTTTGTTGGCAGCATGGCAGCGTGACGTCTCAACGCTCTTTTTGACATCATGCCAACTTCTGAGACGTCTCAACGCTCTGCTCCATATGGCAGCACGCTCAACGCTCTGTCACACACGCTCTGTCACACACGCTCTGTCACACACGCTCCGTCACACACGCTCCGTCACACACGCTCCGTCACACACGCTCCGTTGACAGCATGGCAACTTCTGAGACGTCTCAACGCTCCACGCCCCATATGGCAGGCAGCATGTCAACGTCTGAGGTGTTTCAACGCTCTGTATGGCAGCATGGCAAATTCTGAGACATTTCAACGCTCCACGTGGCATCATGCCAACTCCAGAGACGTCGCACACGCAGGGCAACTCCTGAGGCATCTTCACGCTCTAATGGCAGTTTTGAATGTTCGTTTTGACCCATCTGCATCTGCCCTTTCTCTCGTGCTTTCTTTCCTCTGATACTCGATTGTTCAGGGTCGCCTGGTGGCATCTCCGGTCTCGTTCCCGTCCGGCATAAAGGCACTAGCGGACTATGCGCACAGCAAGGGGCTCAAGCTGGGGCTCTACTCCGATGCTGGGTGAGTCAGTGTGTGGAGATACCCCTACCAAGGCTTCGGAGGGGGTGGGGGGGGGGTGGGGGGGGAGGTTGGGTGGGGTTGGTTGGGAGTGGTTCTGCGGACTATGTGCACAGCAAGGGGCTCAAGCTGGGGCTCTACTCCGATGCTGGGTGAGGAGGGGGTGCAGTCTGGGCGAAGGAATGAGTGCAGTTGGGGTGAGGCAGTGGATATGTCTCAGCTGAGTGCAGTTGGGGTGAGGCAGTGGATATGTCTCAGCTGAGTGCAGTTGGGGTGAGGCAGTGGATATGTCTCAGCTGAGTGCAGTTGGGGTGAGGCAGTGGATATGTCTCAGCTGAGTGCAGTTGGGGTGAGGCAGTGGATATGTCTCAGCTGAGTGCAGTTGGGGTGAGGCAGTGGATATGTCTCAGCTGAGTGCAGTTGGGGTGAGGCAGTGGATATGTCTCAGCTGAGTGCAGTTGGGGTGAGGCAGTGGATATGTCTCAGCTGAGTGCAGTTGGGGTGAGGCAGTGGATATGTCTCAGCTGAGTGCAGTTGGGGTGAGGCAGTGGATATGTCTCAGCTGAGTGCAGTTGGGGTGAGGCAGTGGATATGTCTCAGCTGAGTGCAGTTGGGGTGAGGCAGTGGATATGTCTCAGCTGAGTGCAGTTGGGGTGAGGCAGTGGATATGTCTCAGCTGAGTGCAGTTGGGGTGAGGCAGTGGATATGTCTCAGCTGAGTGCAGTTGGGGTGAGGCAGTGGATATGTCTCAGCTGAGTGCAGTTGGGGTGAGGCAGTGGATATGTCTCAGCTGAGTGCAGTTGGGGTGAGGCAGTGGATATGTCTCAGCTGAGTGCAGTTGGGGTGAGGCAGTGGATATGTCTCAGCTGAGTGCAGTTGGGGTGAGGCAGTGGATATGTCTCAGCTGAGTGCAGTTGGGGTGAGGCAGTGGATATGTCTCAGCTGAGTGCAGTTGGGGTGAGGCAGTGGATATGTCTCAGCTGAGTGCAGTTGGGGTGAGGCAGTGGATATGTCTCAGCTGAGTGCAGTTGGGGTGAGGCAGTGGATATGTCTCAGCTGAGTGCAGTTGGGGTGAGGCAGTGGATATGTCTCAGCTGAGTGCAGTTGGGGTGAGGCAGTGGATATGTCTCAGCTGAGTGCAGTTGGGGTGAGGCAGTGGATATGTCTCAGCTGAGTGCAGTTGGGGTGAGGCAGTGGATATGTCTCAGCTGAGTGCAGTTGGGGTGAGGCAGTGGATATGTCTCAGCTGAGTGCAGTTGGGGTGAGGCAGTGGATATGTCTCAGCTGAGTGCAGTTGGGGTGAGGCAGTGGATATGTCTCAGCTGAGTGCTTCTATGTGCAAGCTTTGTAATGCTGTTCTCAAATCCACAGTCCTATGGTTTGATTCCTCCCTGCCCCCTTCCCATCAGGAAGCGCACGTGTGCAGGGAAGCCAGGGTCACTCGGGCACGAGGAGATTGACGCCCTCACCTTCGCTGAATGGGTAAGGCCTGAGACTCTGAGAGCACGAGGCTGATTCCGGTTGCTAACCTTCCTGGATTGATTAGAGTTGTTTGTTTATCTATTATAATACAGTTGCTTGTGCAGGACAGGTAAAGTTGACAGCCTTTAGACAGGTAAAGTCGACCATTGCTTGGCCCTGCTGCGTCTTGTAGCAGTTAGCACTTAGCGTCCATGTGATGCCAGGGAGTGGACTAGACTGTCTCACGTCCGCCTGCCATGGTTACTAATGTTTACCTTCTCATGTTCACCTGCCATGCTGTGTCTGTGTTCCCGTGTGCTGCCAGGGAGTGGACTACGTCAAATACGACAGCTGCTACGACGATGGGACTCCCACCGAGCAAGGGTATGACCTCCCTGCCTTTTGAGGCGCCTCAAAACCCTGCCACTGTTCCCCTGTGCTTCCAGGGAGTGGACTACGTCAAATACGACAGCTGCTACGACGATGGAACTCCCACCGAGAGAGGGTATGCCCTGTCTGCCTTCCTCCTGTCATGCTGTCAAGGCGAAGTCCCCTCATTCTTTCTTCCACCTAATATTACCCTCTGCCTGCTTGGACTTGGTTAGTCGTGCGTTTTCTTGTGCCGTGTTTCTGACCTATCTGAGCTTTCTATTTCTCCCCTCCCTTCCCCCACATCATCTGGTGGATGCCCGCCAACCAACCGTCAGCCAATCGGCCATGCGCAATGCATTGGAGGCCAGTGGGAGGGACATCTCAGTCTCCATGTGTGAAGGGTGAGTGGCTTCTAGTGGTGAATGATGAGTGAGCGTCTCATGACTGGCAATCACCTCTCTCAGCCTCACAGTTCAATGCGTTGGGCAATCAGATGTCTCAGCCACACAGCCATGCGCAATGCATTGGAGGCCAGTGGGAGGGACATCTCAGTCTCCATGTGTGAAGGGTGAGTAGAGCGGGCAGCATATTTGAGGACGGCACTTGCTGCTATTCATGAGGAGATCGAAGAATCACATTGGTTCCCATGTCTGTCTGCATGCCGGCAGTGACCTGGCTGCCACGTTTGCTGCTATCTCCTTCTGCCGCGTGTGCTGCTGACTCATCCTGCCACGTGTACTGCTGACTCATTCTGCCACGTGTACTGCTGACTCATTCTGCCACGTGTTCTGCTGACTCATTCTGCCACGTGTTCTGCTGCTCATTCTGCCACGTGTATTGCTGACTCATTCTGCCATGTGTGCTGCCTCTTTTGCAGGGAAGAGGACAGCTCTGCTCTGTGGGCGTATGGGTTAGCAGATCCCTGGCGCGCCACCCTTAGCATTGATGACACGTGGAGGAGGTGAGGGACACGTGGCTGATTGGAGGAGGGATACGTGGCTGAAGGGAGGAGAGACACGTGGTTGATTGGAGGAGGGACACGTGGCTGAAGGGAGGAGAGACTCGTGGTTGTTGTCATGCTGAGGGAATTGAAGAGGCATGGGAGAAGAAGGTGGAAGGAGTGGGAGAGAAGCATTGGAAATGCTCTATATGTGTCTTCTTACTGATTGACACCATGTTTTCTTCCTTGCGCACACACATGTACGCATATGGCACATGCAGTGTGACGTGGGTTTCAGACGCCAACAACAAGTGGGCCAAATACGCCGACCCTCGCAATTGGAATGGTGCGTGCAGTGCAGCCACACATACAAGGCAGCGTTCAGTGTCGCAGTGCGCTCATCTCTCACAAGTGTTGCAATGCGCTCATCTCTCACAAGTGTCGCAATGCGCTCATCTCTCACAAGTGTCGCAATGCGCTCATCTCTCACAAGTGTCGCAATGCGCTCATCTCTCACAAGTGTCGCAATGCGCTCATCTCTCACAAGTGTCGCAATGCGCTCATCTCTCACAAGTGTCGCAATGCGCTCATCTCTCACAAGTGTCGCAATGCGCTCATCTCTCACAAGTGTCGCAATGCGCTCATCTCTCACAAGTGTCGCAGTGCGCTCATCTCTCACAAGTGTCGCAATGCGCTCAGGTGTCTCACAAGTGGGGCACTCAAACATTCCTAGCTCTCTCCTAACCCAGCACTCCCCTATTCTCCTCCCCCATTCTCATATATCCCACTGTTGCCCCTCTAATACCAGACCTGGACATTCTGCAGGTGGCCAAGGGCAGTATGGGCCAGCCCAAATACCACGTGCAACTCAATCTCTGGGCCATCATGAAGGTGAAAATAGGCTCCTGCATGTGCATACATCCACGCGTGCGAGCATGCATTTATGCGTGCGTACATACTTCGTTGGATGCTATCAGGCGTGCATATGTCCATACTATACATCTTTTCTCAGCTTCCACCCATGTTGGCACGCACAATTAGCTGTATTTGTTTCTCACAAGTGCCCTCCTTTCACCTCCCACCAGGCGCCACTCCTGCCTGAGTGCCATCTCTCTGCTGCATGGGAGCCAGCCATGACCATCCTCAGCACCGACGAGGCCATTGCGCTCAACCAAGGTATGCACCCCAGGTGCAAGGTCCTCAACTCATCCATGTATAACCTCGACTAAAAGGTCGCTCTGCTGCATGGGAGCCAGCCATGACCATCCTCAGCACCGACGAGGCCATTGCGCTCAACCAAGGTATGCACCCCAGGTGCAAGGTCCTCAACTCATCCATGTATAACCTCGACTAAAAGGTCGCTCTGCTGCATGGGAGCCAGCCATGACCATCCTCAGCACCGACGAGGCCATCGCTCTCAACCAGGGTACGCACGCAACCCAAGCAGGCTAGATGGTATTGCTAGCAGTGATGGTGCATTCCCTCTGCTGCATGGAAACCATCCATGAGCATTTGAGCACCGACAAGGCCATCGCTCTCAACCAAGGTGTGCACCCAAGCAGACTTGGCGTTGTCGGTATCAGCTCATGCAGATGTATAATGTATGGTTCATAGTGATGTGGTTTCGTCACCTGTGGGATACTGCTACTGCTGATGGCATGGGTTGTGAGAAATTCCTGTTGACAGTCTAGCTCTTGATTGCATGTGAGCTGCCTGAGTATTGCTGACACATGCTGTATTGTTAATGGTGCAGATTCATTGGGAATGCAGGCGCAGGAGGTGCAGCTGTCAAAGAAATCTTCAGTGAAAGTGAGAACATTGAATTCTTCCCTGGATGCTATGCCTTGCATTAACATTCATTTTAATGCTCTTGCATATTGCAACAATTCACTTCAAATGCCTTGGTATCACAATCCTGATTTCTGTTATGTGCTACCTGTTCCCGAACCTGCAGGTCTGGGTGGGATCTCTATCTGAGGGTCGGAAAGTGGTGGCATTGGTGAACCGTGGTGTGAGGAGCGCGAATGTGACCGTCAGTTGGGAAGAAATTGGGCTTAATCCGGAGCAGCATATTCATGCACGAGATTTGTGGAAGGTATGTGTCTCAACACGATGTCATTTATTCCCTGCATCCCCTTCTCACCTACGTTCTTTCTTTCTGTTTTTTTTCTTTCTTTCTTTCTGGTATTTTTTCTTTCTATCTTCCTTTTCTTGTTTTTTCCCCCTCATTTCTTCCACCTCTGTACCCCTCACTCCAAATACATTCATGCAAGCACGCACGTGCATGCAAGCACATGCTACGCTTACACATAACAATTCAGCACAGAATGTTTTCTAAAGGTATGCTTTCCGTCGTGTTATATATGTAATGCAGGACTACACCATGAACTCTGCCAACTCTAAAGACCTGAACGCCCAGGTTGGAAGCCACGGTGTGAGATTGTTTGTTCTCTGGCCTGTAACAGATGCCAGTATGGATTAAATGAAAAATAATTGGAGCAGAAAGGGCCGATGTAGCATTGTGTAATGTAGAACATCATAGGGATGTTTCTCCTCTCCCAATGATGCGTAAGGTTGACACTACACCAAACGATGTCTTTGTGTGTGTCAGCATATTGCAATAAAAGTGCATATCCATGTGCACTTGCTGAAGTGCCTGACTGTTTTCTGTTAGTAAATTATCATACCATAGTCACCTGTTTTCTCTCCCAACTTTTCAGCCTTCTTGTTCGTTACACCGAGTCTCGCATACCGATGTCTTTAAATCCAGGGCCCAGTTCGGTAGGCATTAAAAAAAGGGCCTCGGCGGATGGGCTACAGTAAACCGATCACCCTGGAACCTTCTTTGATAAGCGCGTGAAGGGTTATCTTGGCTCGATATAAGCGGATCATCGCCGAGCCAGACAATAATGGAATGCCTCCCGAACACCCTTTTTTTTGCAGTCGTTTTCAACTGCCCGAATTTTCCACGAACCCAGTTTCTCTGGCAAAGTGCCCATTTTCTGATCCGTCGCACCATGCGGCCTCGAGGCCCCGCACCATGCGGGGTATCAGTGATTCGGGGCAATCAAAAGTGACTGGTCAAATATGCCAGCCAATCACATGAGGACGCGATCCATCAAGGCAACTTTCGAACACCTTCTGCGAAACCCGGAATCTCGGTTGATGCCATCAATCTACACCCAATTAATGCCAACCGAACACTCATACCATTTTTCCGAAGGTGCACTGCAGCTACAGACCAGTTTCGAAGTTGTTTCTGGAAATGCCCAAGCGCCATTTTTTGGGGGCCCGTTAAAAATGCCCATAATGGCGAAAATGGCCATAATGCCTACCGAACTGGGCCCAGATACTCGAGGGAACGGTAAGGTGGTGATCGGTGGTCTGGAAGGATTTGCCTCCCTCCATACTACATCCTCGATCACGGAGCTGAAGCCAAGCCACTCTGCGCCGCTTTGTATTCCTGTAACACCGTAATATACCTACGCCCACCCTGGATTCATCTGACACACAAATTCCCGAGCACACGAACGCAGACCTGCAGGCCGTTTCTTCTTCATCAACTTCCCATTCTCGAAAGCTCCAAGTTCTACAGGGGGCCCTTGGTCAGTTGTTTTCTTTCAGGGAGCTCTAGCGTTCTGGCTGGGAACTTGCCGTCCTTCCTTTCGTTCCTCTTCCTCCTCTCTTGCACCAAGCTACAGTGCTTCCCACGCTTTTTCCCTCGTTCCTTCCTTCCAAGGCTCCGTCCATAGAATGAAATTCCCATACTACGATCACGCGTGCTTGAAGTCAATGCACAGTCCCGTGACTTACCGGCCGACGGATTCTCGAGAATTAGGTACAGTAACAATAAACCGTACATGTCCGGTGTTGTCAATGGTTGTCAATGGCTGTCAATCAGTCAACGACTGACAATCTGACATGACACCCACACCTCCTAGTCAGTCCGGGAGATGAGCATTACCCTTGACATGATGACACCCACACTTCCTACAGCCAGTCCTTGACTGTCTGACTACCATTGTCAGCATATAAACATCGGACGTCAACAGATGGACATCGGACGTCAATCCGACGACCATTGACAGAATGATCTTACATCGGAAACTCGAATAATCTGTGATTAGCTTTTGTAAACTTTTGATTCTTTCATCATGTGTGATCATAGTGTAATCTTTCGAGCTTATCGCGATCATGAAACCTAGAGCTGTGGATCTACGCGCGACTGCAGCCTCCACCATTCCTTGGCGACGACAATGCATCCGCCTTTGAGGCGCCTCGTTATTATACATCTCTCGTAAGCGCGACTGCATGGTCCCTACCCGCTGCCTGGCGACGAGACGACAATGCAGCCGCTGCTAGGTGCTGCTCGGTTCGAGACGGTGGGGGGAAAAGATTGGACGTGCGGGGAACAGCGAATGCTGGGTGCAAAGCAGCGTATGGGTGCGGAGTTGAAGCTGACGGATGCGGAGCAGCAACGTGGTAGTACGTTGGGTGCGACGCTGCAGCGTAGTACTGCGGTTGCACGGAGACAGCATCATAATATGACCGTTGAGAAGTCTCAAACGACTCTTAGAAAGAGGCGATGGAAAGAGCCGCTGGCTTCTGAGACGTCTCGAAAGGCGAGGTGGTGGAGGAGATGGAGAGAGCATCATCGTAATGTGACCGTTGAGAGACAACCGGTGACCGCCGAGACGCCTCAAAATGCTCTTAGAAAGAGGCGATGGATTGAGCCTGTGGCTTCTGAGACGCCTCGAAAGACGAGGCGACAGAGGAGGTGGAGACAGCATGCGGTCGCTTACAGCCTCTTGCTCGCCCTTGCCTTTGTGCGTCCGCTGATTCCACACACAGGTGGCTTTTATTTTAGCTGCGAACCGAGTTTAGGACCATCGCAAGTCCATGAAAATCACTTTGCATTCGCCTCTCGCCGTTTTTGGTCCAACCCTCAAACGCATTTGCATCGCTCGCGTTCTTTGAAATTCCTTCCGGCTCCAGACCCTTCAAAATAAGTCTCTGGTGGGGCGGTTAAGAGGTACCCAAGGTTAGTTCATCGCATCTGCAGCCTCGTATGCTCGAGCTCGCCTTTCGTGAGTCCTGTTCCATACATAGGCTCGGCATTTTACATAAACAAGTCTTAACTTTAAGTGCGGCCTTAGCCAGTCACGACCATGAAACGTCTCAGACAGAGTACGATGAAACCTCTCAGACAGAGTACGATGAAACGTCTCAGACAGAGTACGATGAAACGTCTCAGACAGAGTACGATGAAACGTCTAAGACAGAGTACGATGAAACGACTCAGACAGAGTACGATGAAACGTCTCAGACAGAGTACGATGAAACGTCTCAGACAGAGTACGATGAAACGTCTCAGACAGAGTATGATGAAATGTCTCAGACAGAGTACGATGAAACGGCTCAGACAGAGTGCGATGAAACGTCTCAGACAGAGTATAATGAAACGTCTCAGACAGAGTACGATGAAACGTCTCAGACAGAGTGCGATGAAACGGCTCAGACAGAATGTGAAACGTCTCAGACTGAGAATCGGGGTATTTTCAGTGAGTCCTGTTCTGAGTGCAACGCGTAGCAACACGAAACACACTTAGCTAAGTGATCTGGTCTCGGTTGACTTAACTGCTCCGGACTGGCTTAGAATGCTCCGGGCTGACTCAATTCCCGGGGGCTGACGCGAGATCAACCAAGTGCTCCGGAGGAATCACTTTTGAGAATTATCAAGAGGAGATCCGTGCTTCAAGATGCTTTGGGTTGACTTAAAAGCTCCTGGTTGACTTTAATCCGTGATAGTCTTGTTCTGCGGATCATTGAACTACGCTTCACTTCTCTTGAGCCTCCTCAAAAGTCAAAACTGTTGAGGCACTTCAAAAAGTAAGACTCAAAAGTCACCTTCTGAGGCACTTCAAAACGTAAGACTCAAATGCTCCGAGGTGACTTCTGAGTCGACCCGAAAAATGAATACTCAAATCCTCCATGGAAGTCTTGTTCTGCGGATGAGTGAACTGTGCTTCAGTTCATGATACAAGTCATGTTAGAAAGTGGCAAATCGCCTTCCCCATTCTTCAGATCACTCAGTCGACCTCTCCCTTGTCCTTCGTCTCACCCATTCATGCCCCCCTCTCACCCATTCTTGCTCCCTCTCAACCATTCATGCTCCCTCTCACCCACTCACGCTCCCTCTCACCCATTCATTCACCCTCTCACCCATTCATGCTCCCTCTCACCCATTCATGCTCCCTCCCCTCTCACCCATTCATCCGTTAAACCACCACCACCCGTTCCTTTCTACCCCATCCCCTCTTCCCCTGGTTCTGCCCGTCCCACCTTCTTCCCTCCTCCCTTTCTTCCCTTGTCACCTCCTCCTCCTCCTCGTCTCCCCTCTTCCCCTTCTCCCCTTGTCCCCTTCCCACCTTCCTCCGTTCTCCCCTTCCCCCTTTCCCCCATTCCGCCTTCCCCCACCCCTTCCCCCATTCCCCCTCCCCTTCCGCCTTTCCCCTCCCTTTCCGCCTTCCCCTCCCCTTCCGTCTTCCCCCTGCCACCAGCCCCCATCGTCCGCCTTCCCCCTTGCGCCCTTACTCGATGTCTCTCCTTCTCAGACGCTCTCTGCGGCACCTTGCCCACTGACTATGCCGCTCTGCACCCTTTTTTCCCCTTTCCCCCTCCCCACACCCCCTCCCCATTCCCCCTCCCCTTTCCCCCTCCCCCCAGCTTCCACCCCCCATGCGTGCGTCCGCCTCCCCCCTCGCGCCCTTCCCCGACGTCGCCTTCGCAGACGCCCTTTGTGTGTGGCACCTGGCCCACTCACTATGCCGCTCTGCACCTTCTTTCCCCCTCCCTTCCTCCGTCCCCGCCCCCTCCCCATCCCCTTCCCCTTGCCACCAGCTCTCTTCCTTCAAGCGTGCGTCCGCCTCCCCCCTCGCGCCCTTTCTCGACTTCACCTTCTCGGACGCTCTCTGTGGGACGTGGGCGACTGACTACGCCGCTCTGCACGCTCGCATCCGCGAAACTGCCCGCTCCCACGCCCCCACCCTCGCTCAGACCGCTGCCGCTGCTGCCAACGCTGCTGCCGCCGCCGCCGCCGCTGCTGGTGGTGCTGCAGCAACCGCACTACCACCACCACCGCCACCACTGTCACCATCACCATTACCACCAGCACCCCCGTCCGTCCCTCCTCCATCCCCTCCTCCATCCCCTCCGCCCCCAGCCGCATACCCCCAGCCCCGTTTAGACCCATCCATCCGCTTCCTAACCTTTGAATGGCTTGACGAGCCTGGAGGCTTGGGGGATTATATCACCGGGCTTGCCACCGCGTTTGCCTGCGCGCTCCTCACGCGCCGAGCCTTCATCGTCCGGCACCCGTACCTCCCGCTTGCGTTCGCGCCGAACCTCGTTGATTGGTCGTTCTCGCCGGACGTGCCGTATGAGCCGGCTCGGCGGCTGACGGTCGATGAAGTGTTGGCGAGAGTGGGAGAGAAGGGAGGAGAAGGAGGAGGCGGAGGGAGAGGAGGAGGAGGGAAGGGGGAGTTGGTGCAGGAGGGGGAGGTGGTGATAGTGAATCTGAGGAACCGGTTTGTGGAACCAGAGGAGTTCTTTGCGGTGCTGGATAAGGCGATGAACGTCCGCGTGTCGTGGAACAAAGGGCTGCTCATTTCATGTACCTGCTCGCACAGGTGAGGGGGAGTGGAGTGGTGGAGTGGTGGAAAGAGGTGAGTGTTGAAACAATTCTGAAGCGTCTTTGGGGGCTGGCTGGATAGGGCAATGAACATCCGAGTGTTGTGGAGTGGAACAGAGGGCTGCTCACGTACCTGCTCGCACAGGTGGGTTTGTGGAGTGGTGGATCGCCCAGGTGAGGGGTTGTGGAGTGATTCGCCCAGGTGAGGGGTTGTGGAGTGGTGGTGTGGAGGAAAGGGGTAATTTCGGAATGATTTAAAGAGAAAGAGAACTCTTAGACCCGAAATCCTAAACCCTAAACCACTAAATCATAACTCCCAAATGCATCACATGCACACTCCCTCATCTTCTTTATTGTCCTCTCCTCTCCACCTCACCTCACCTCCTTACCCACAGGCGGTGGGGAAGAGATGGGCGGGTAGCCTTTTGAGGCGCCTCGAAAGTCCCTTCCCTTATATGCATCACATGCACGCTCCCTCATCTTTCTTATCGTCCTCTCCACCTCACCTCCTTACCCACAGGCGGTGGGGAAGAGATGGACGGCCAGCCTGCACTGCACGCCAGGGACACTTGCCCTCCCTGCCTGTTGTGTTCATGTGCTCATATGTAACCTGTGTGCTTTTGTGCTCCTGTGCTCTCGAACCCACCTCTCACCCTGTTGCCCACAGGCGGTGGGGAAGAAATGGACTGCCAGTCTGCACGCCATGGGCATACGCCCTCCCTACGAATTGCGCTCATGTTTAAGTGTAGTTATGTGTTTATGTGCTCTTTACCTCATCTAATTGCCCACAGGCGGTGGGGAAGAAATGGACTGCCAGTCTGCACGCTTTAGGCATACGCCCTCCCTACGCCTTTGGCTGCATACTTCGCTTCCTCCTAAAGTACGTTCCTATCATATCTTCACACGGTGTTATAGTAGCTCCCTCACATGCGGCCTCCCTCACTCACATGCGCCCTCCCTCGCATGCGCCCTCCCTCGCATGCGCCCTCCCTCGCATGCGCCCTCCCTCGCATACGCCTCCTTCCTACGCCTTATCATCAGCTAACTATGATTTTATTGTCGCTCGTATTCTGCTCACACCGCCACCCCTCCAGTCTCCTCTAGTCATAGCTCTAGTATATGGTGCTATTTAATCTACTTTTTAGTCCCCACCCCAACCCCCGTTCCCCCTACTTCCCGCCACCAGACCACAGGCAGACGTCAATTCAAAAGTACTCAAACGTACTCAAAAGCAAAATTTACAAGACATGCACCACCCCCTGCTTTCGTTGTGTTCAGTCCAATCGACCGAACATACGAATGTCCCAACTCGGCCCCTTCCCACCCCTCTCCACCCCTATCCCTCCTTGCCATCTTCCCTCCCCCCCCCTCCCCCCCCCTTTTCCTCCACCAGACCACAGCCAGAGGGCATATCAAAACGTCAAGCCATGTACCACCCCCTGCTTTCCTTTGTCTTCACTCGGTCGACCAGAAACACTCATGCCCTTCCGACCCCCCTTTTCCCCACCATCCCCCCCACCAGGCCACAGCCAGTAGCCAAACTTTTGAAACGTTTCAAAAGGCCTCAGCCAGTAGGCAGAATCGAACGTTCAAGCCATGTACCGTCAACTGCTCTCCTTTGTGTTCACTCCACCAAAAGCACTCATGCCCTCCTTCCCGTTCCCCCCTTCCTCCTCCTCCCCCCACCAGGCCACAGCCTGAAGTCATATCAAAATTGCAAGCCATGTACCATCAGCTCCTAGCACCTCTCACCTCCTCCTCCTCCTCTCACCTCCTCCTCCTCTCCCTCCGCCCCCCTCCAGCATCTCACCACTGGCCACTCACGCACCTCTCATCTATCCTCTCACGCCTCTCATATCCGTATCCGTATATGGGTTTTCACATGGGTCTTCCCATGGGCTCCCGGGCCATAGGGTGGCGGTGGTGGGGATACACACCGGACAAGTCCGGTCAATGAAAAACCCTCATGCCCTCCCCACTTCCCCAACCCCCTTCCTCTCCATCCCCCCCACCAGGCCGCAACCAGAAGTGATCTCAAAACTCCAAGCCATGTATCATCAACTCCTCGCGCCTCTCACCTCCTCCTTCTCCTCCTCCTCCTCTCCCTCCGGCCCCCTCCAGCATCTCACCACTGGCCACTCACGCACCTCCCTTCTATCCTCTCATGCCTCTCATGGGTTCTCGCATGGGTCTTCCCATGGCCTTTCGGGTCATAGGGTGGCGGTGGTGGAAATACACATGAGAGCCCCGGACAAGTTTGGTTAATAAAAAACCATCATTCCCTCCCCACTCCCCCAACCCCCTTCCTATCCATCCCCCCCACCAGGCCCCAACCAGAAGTCATTTCAAAACTCCAAGCCATGTATCATCAGCTGCTCGCGCCTCTCGCCTCCTCCTCCTCCTCCTCCTCCTCCTCTCCCTCCACCCCCCTCCAGCATCTCATCACTGGCCACTCACGCACCTCCCATCTATCCTCTCATGGGCATTCACATGGGGCGTCACATGGAGGTTCGGGCCATAGGGTGGCGGTGGTGGGGATACACATGAGAGCACCGGATAAGTTCGTGTGGCAGGGGCAGCAGGGGTTTGGAGATCCCAAGGCTATGAGTGAGGCGGATAAGGAAAAGCTCATGGCGTGGGCTGAAGACTATATTGCATGTGCCCAGGTGGGTGGGTGAGGGAGGGAATTAAGGGGGTTGGTAGGGTGGGGTTTCGCTGTCTGAATAGGTGCGGTTGCGCGTTGCATGTGTACTAAGTGGTTTGGAGATTCCAAGGCTATGAATGAGACGGATAAGGAAAAGCTCATGGCGTGGGCTGAAGACTACATTGCATGTGCCCAGGTGGGTTGGTGGGGGGAGGGAATTAAAGATTGGTACGGTGGGGTTTCGTTGTTTCAATAGGTGCTGTTGCTCGTCACATGTTTGAGAAGAGGTTTGGAGTGTCAGAACTTAAGCTTAGAACTGATACATTAGTAGTGAGCTCAAAGCTCTTTAAGTACATCAGAAGTGAGCAAGGTATGGATGATGAGGGAATCAGGGGCAATCCTAGGGAATCAGGGGTAATCCCAAGGCAATCTCCAATTGGTGGGTTGGAGATTGCTTGGAGATTACATTTGGGTTTGGTTGGGATGTGGGTGTACACCCAACCAAACACAAAGTGCAAACTACACTAAACTAGGATATAAAAGTACAAGTACAAAATGTGAGATTGAGGGCTAACACCAACATGGAGATCCCAAGGCTATGAGTGAGGCGGATAAGGAAAAGCTCATTGCGTGGGCTGACGACTATATTGCATGTGCCCAGGTGGGTGGGTGGGGGAGGGATTAGGTTCTGTGGGGTTACTCGGTTCGAATTTGCATGATTGCTAGTGTGAGAAGGAAATCGGAGATCCCAATGCGATGAGCGAGGCGGATAAGGAAAAGCTCATGGCGTGGGCTGAGGACTACATTGTATGTGCCCAGGTGGGTGGGTGGGGGAGGGATCAAAGCCTTGTGTGGTTCCACTGTTTGAATAGGCATTGTTGCGTGTGTGAGAAGGGGGTTTCGGAGATCCGATGGCTATGAGTGAGACGGATAAGGGCAAGCTTATGGCGTGGGCTGAGGACTATTTTGCATGTGCCCAGGTGGGTGGGGGGAGGGGTTAGACTTTTTGTGGTTACCCTGTTTGAGTTAGCAAGCTTATGGTGTGGGCTGAAGACTACATTGCATGTGCCCAGGTGGGTGAAGTTTGAGGCGTCTCAAAACTCAATTTGATATCCCAAGGCTATGAGTGAGACGGGGAGGGTCACACTTATGGCGTGGGCTGAAACTCATGGCATGGGATAATTGCGACATTGAGGGCGACATTGCATGTGCCGAGGTGGGTGGGCTTTAAGACATCTCAAGAGCTCATGGCGTGGGATAAGGACGACAGTGAGGGCGACATTGCATGTGCCGAGGGTGTTCACCGGGACTAGAGTTTGGTGTCTGATTGTTTGGATAGTCATGTTTGCATGTGCCCAGGTGGCTCACAGTTTGAATTACTGGGACATCTCAAAACGTGAAGAGGTGGGTGTCGAAAGGGCTTTTCGTATCATTTACGACTGTGTGTGCTCAAAGTGACCTGCCTTCTCTTCATATCACTTCCTGTTTTTCCACTCTTCTCCTCTATCCCATGCCTCTCTCTACCGTCCCCTTCACTTTTACTGTCCTTCCTTTTTTTTCCTGCGCCCCTGTTTTCTGCCCTTTACAAGCTGGAGGTATGGTGGATGACTGCTCCCACCATTGTTCGCTGGAGGCCCCGTGGGTGCCCGCTCGAGTTGACGCTAAATACACCTTCCTTGTGCCCCCCAAGCTCGCTGCATCGTGCTCCTATAGAAGCTGGAGGCGTGGTGGATGCCCACTCCCACCATGTGTGTTGCGAGTCGACTCTAAACACACCTTTCTCCCTGCACTGCTTCCCCTGCATCGTGCTCTCTTTCCTGCAGACGCTGGAGGCATGGTGGATGTCCGCTCCCACCGTGTGTGTATTTCTGTCAACTCTAAACAAACGTTCCTTGTGCCCTCAATGTCTCCCTGCACCGCTTCCCCGTGCATCGTACTCCCTATCTGCAGAAGCTGGAGGCATGGTGGATGCCCGCTCCCACCATGGTTCGCTGGCTTGTCATCAGCAACTCTCACGAGCTCAAGACAGCCCTTCGACTCAAGTACCCGGACAAGGTGTGTGCTCCTTCCCTCTTACGAGTCAAGTCGAAGGTTTCAGGTGACTTTTGAGTCAGCCTCTGGTTCAACTCTCACGAGCTCAAGACGGCCCTTAGACTCAAGTACCCGGACAAGGTGTGTGCTTTTCTATCTCCTTTTGAGTCGACTCAAGAGTCAAATCTTATGAGCTCAAGTTAGGATTCCGGCTCAAATACCCTCACAATGTCAGCGCTTTTTCCCTCTATTTTGAGTGGGTACAGTTTTTTTAGGTGACTCAAAAAGTCGACCCGAACATTTCTTAGGTCAGCAGTGCACCCTTCAGCTAAAAAAACTCTCTGTCCCATGCAGACTCGTGCCTTCCTATTGTCATCATCCTGCTTGGTTGTGTGACAGGTTGTGGGTTCATGCAACCACCTGCCATGCTTCTAAGCTCCACAACATACCTTTTTCCAAATGCCTCCTTATGATCATCCCCGTTATTGGCAGGTGGTGATTTCTGACATCGTCCCTCTACATGCCAACATTCTGACACCCACTGCTGATACCAATTCCACCTCGCCATCCTCGTCAGCACAATCTACCAAGGCAAAGGGAGCATCGACATACATTGATATTGTCGTGGATTGGCTGCTTCTAGCGTCAACCGATGTTCTTGTGTTGTCTCACTCAGGGTTTTCCCATTCCGCAGCATTCTTCTCGCAACGCCTAACGTCTACTTATGTCCCGAAACATTGCAACCCAGAAATTCCTGTAGATACGCGAGCTATTGGACGAATCTGGAGTGGAATTTGAAACCTCCTTATATGTGTTCAACCTTGGTTCATAGCCTGGTCAACTAGATGCTCAACATTCGATAGACACGTATGGTGCAGTATTATGTTTTTTTTTTGTGACACTTCACACATCCGATCTCATTGCCCATCTCTGAGTCCAGAGAATTAGAGGCTGTAGAGAATCTATATACAAATTCGTGAACATAAAGGTTAGATATCTATGATCGATACACTGTTATTATGGCTGAAATACTGTTTGTCTGAAATCAAAGCACGGTCCCTGCCACGCTAAACGTGACTAGGAATCGCCCACGTCCTAGTCAGGGGGGATCCACATGTGGAGGTTGTCCAAACAGACCGCAACAGCATCGCTAATCCACGCGTGCGAAGGGCCAATGCGTCGACTGCCTAGTCATCCCCTCGCTGGCAGATGCAAATCACCTGTATATCTCGGGCGTGCCACGCCAGAGCTCTACTCGCATGACTCAGTTTTTTCAGCAGAGCTGGACTTTCAGCTGTGTCACCGAGTCGCGGGGCCCTCAAAATCAGTGCATTTGATCCCATACAGCGCATCACCGACTCATCGACTCATCATCCGCCTTCTCCTAGGATGATGCATCTGTACGTGCCAGACGAGACGCGCGTCTTTCTATTGGCTGCAAGCGAGTCAGGATGGCAAATGCGTGGCAATCCAACTTCTCCTGATGCTCCTACGAGTCTACGACGTCTTCCCCGGACCCCGAGCACTCTTTCCAGGCATCATTAGTTCTCCTCTTGGCCTCTCGTGACACAAAGCAAACACGGTGCACCCTACTTGTGTCATTAAGCAGCAGCTACGATCGTGTCACGTCAGCATTCTGCCCCTATCTCCATATCTAACCGTCAAAAGTTTAGATCATGTAGCTTGATTTTGGAAAGAACACGCCCTCACCTCAACCTCCTCTCCCTCCACCCTCCTCTGCGCCATCCATCCATTCGTCCCCTCGTTCTTGCTCCAGCACACAGGGGGAAGAGTCTGCAATGATTGACCCTCGTCTCCACAGAATGATCTCGCTGACTCGTCTGGGCCGAATGACACGCGCTTCGGTGTTCTCGGCTCACTCTGGTCGAGTCTCCTAGTAACGAGCGGTATCTTCGCGTCACTTATATTCCTTTGTTTTTGTCAATCATCCACAAACGGCTTTCCAGTGCTTCTTTCAACAGCCTTTGATACCCCAGCGTTCAGCTGGAAACGGAGGTTCACATTCAGTCAAGCTGAGAAATCATTTCAGCTTTTGCTACCTGCCATTGCTCTGCTCGCATCAGAACGGCCTTTCTGTTCGTTCCGAGCAAGCGAAGCCAGCTGGATCCCAGGCTCTGACGCAACGTCAGGCTTCATCCGAGCCTCCCGGTTGCCCCGTCGCACCGTCGTAACGTATCCCACGTGAAAACCCATCCGAAGTCAATTTCAAATCCTACCAACATGTTTACCATCTTCCACAAGGGTGTGGCTCCCAGCCAACCCGAGCTTCAGTGCGCTCTTGCGGACGCAGCAGACCCGGGTAACGTTCACTCGGGAGGTGCCGCTGTCGGAGATTTCCTGAAGAACAATTCTTCGGCTACAGTGCTGCACATCGATGACAACCTCGAGATTGCCTTTACAGGGGACAATGGCAGGTAATAACAACGTTGTTTCTTGTGAATACCCTCGAGGCCGTTGCATCTATCCAGCACTGCGATTTGACATGCATTCGTTAACTTCTGTTTTCGCAACGTCGTTCTTTGCCTGACTTGGCCAGCATGAACTAATTCTGTTCTATACTACTCATGTTCTGCCTTCAGACAATTTGCCTCGTGCGACGACATTTTCTGCACCTTCGTCGGCAACCTCGAGAACCTCCCGCAAATGCGGGTAGCGTACGGTCTCACCCGGTACCGGATCTGCGAGGCCGCGTTCGTGATCGAGGTGTACAAGACGCTGCGTGACAGAGCTCCGTGCACAGTGGAACACGCCCTTTCAGAGTTCCGGGGTCCGTTTTCGTTCGTGCTGTACGACCAGAAGCAGAAGAAGGTGTTTGTCGCTCAGGACGCGTATGGGAAGCGACCGCTGTACTGGGGACTGTGCAAGGACTCGGTTCTGGCGATTTCGGACAAGTGCGACACGCTCCGGAAGAACTGTGGACGCTCCTTCGCTCCCTTCCCCAAGGGTACGAAATCGTAATTTCGCCATCCCGTCGCTGGTCATTGCGGATGTTTTTCTCATTTTCACCCCCCTTGAACGCAGTGTCGCTTCGCATCTTATCGCCTTTTCACTCGTGCGGGTCAACTTCTAACCAAATAATTTTCGACTCTTTTCACGTGCAGGATGCTACTTCTCCACGGCAGCGGGACTGAACAGCTACGAGCACCCTGATCGCATGCTCAAGGCCGTGCCGCACATCGACAGCCAGGGCCAGCTTTGCGGCTCCACCTTCGTCGTGGATCAGAAGATGCGCTTCAGACAAATGTCGCAAGTGGGGAGCGAGTGCGATCTGACAGCCATCTAGTTTCCGAGTTTTAATTTAGGCGTGATTCCAGGCTGGAACGCTGGATATATATTTTCAATGGTAGAGCGATGGTTGAAACCCATCCCCTGGGGGGATGGGGGTTGCTGGGTGTTTATGGGCTTTCTTTCTGGTGTGCGATTTTCATGGAGGCTTGTCTCCTTTGCAGCGCACCGTGTAAATCTGCTTTGTTTATGTGATAAGTGTGCATATCTGCTGCTTTATGAGCATATCAAGATATTCCATTTCAACATTATACTGGGTTCAACTGGCCACAGCCTGAGATGGCCGTGTGCGAGCTGTCGTGCTTGAAAGAGTTATCGAGGGAGCACCCTGTGGCATTGGAGGATGCGAGCTCTGAGCTATCAAGGGAGCGCTATGTGGACTGTCCGCACCGTAGGGAACAAAAGCTCGATCATTCGTTTATGCCATATTGAAAACGTACACCTTGAAGCACAGGTACTTTACACAAGTACTACGAGTGGAGGGTGAATACTTTACAAGCAGGGTGCTCAAGGAGAATCATATGAAAGTGAGTCCCATTGAAGCACTTCCAGATCCACCCTAAATGACAAGCATACTAAAGTGCCATACTGAGCCACTGACTAAAACCATAGTCCTGCTGTATGTATGATCAGCGGGTCCATTCAGCAAGCTTTGTTGACATTGATCGAAACTACAGTAACCTGCCAAGGCTCCCAGTGCAGCAGCCAAAAATGCTGTAGCAAACCATTCACTCACTTCTGTAACAGCTTCTCCCACACCCAAGCTAAATCAGGAAGAAAACAGTAAATGCTTCAAAAGTTATTGCACCATCTAACCCCTCAAGAATGTAACATACGGTAAATCATAAATTGCACTGGGGGGGAAGCGAGGGTCAAGGGAGGAGCGGTAAGGGGGCGTGGAAGTGTAGACTGAACCACACATGTCTGCCTGCCAGCCCAATGAACAAATTCTCAACAAAGAACGAGCCGCTCTGCTAAAGCCTTCTTGATGCACTTGCATCGTGAGCCAAGCCAACCCTTGTAACCATTTCAACCAAACTCTGAAGATGCAGTTGCGGTGCGGTGGTGGCACTGGCAGTGGCACCTGCTGCTCAGGAGGTAGACCAGTCATTCCTGCTAACCAATTCCTATCGCATGCTGATCTGTCAAGATTCTGTAACCAAGGTCGGCTGGTAACCTCTGGTAACCGCGCGTCATCTAGAGTCTTGACCGACACGCTGGGGTCAGCTGGTGTTGGCGCGAATCCACGGGTGATCTGGCACGATTGGAGGGGGTGCCAGTGGGGGGTGGTGACAGTGAGGGATGGTGACAGTGAGGGGTGGTGACAGTGAGGGGTGGTGACATTTAAAGCCTTTGTTGAGAGGCTGGGGTCAGCTGGTGTTGGCGCGGATCCACGGGTGATCTGGATGGATTGGAGGGGGTGCCAGTGGGGGGTGGTGACATTGGGGGATGGTAACAAATACGTTTGAGTCGACTCAAAAGTCACCTCGAGTCTTCGTTGAGAGGCTGCGGTCAGCTGGTGTTGGCGCGAATCCACGGGTGATCTGGACGGATTGGTGCGATGGGTGAGGGTTGAGGAGTGGTGACAGTGGGGGTGGGGTGGGGGGTGGTAGAAATGACTTTTGGGTCGTCTCAAAAGTCAACTCAAGTCTTGACCGAGAGGCTGGGGTCAGCTGGTGTTGGCGCGAATCCACGGGTGATCTGGACGGATTGGTGGGATGGTGACGGTGGGGGATGGTGACGGTGGGGGATGGTGACGGTGGGGGATGGTGACGGTGGGGGATGGTGACGGTGGGGGATGGTGACGGTGGGGGATGGTGACAATAAGGGATAGTGCCATTGGGGGATGGTGACAATGATGGGTGGTGACATTGAGGGGTAGTGACAATGAGGGGTGGTGACAGTGGGGGATGGTGACAATGGGAGATGGTGACAATGAGGGATGGTGACAATGGAATGAGCATTGAAAATTTTTGTCACTCAATCAGATGGGCAATTAATCAATCTATTGAATATCCAGTCATTGATGTGGACATTCTGGCAATAAAATAAATAAGCATGCATTTATGCAAAAAAACATATTGCAAGCGAAACAAACACTAATGCATTGAACAAAAAAAAAAAACGATTGAACACCCAACGATTGAAACGAACTGTCGGTCACTGAAACATACATTTCCTCACAACGTAAAACCCCAGACGTACCAAGAATCTCTTCCGCACTGATCCTCTTCTTGGGGTTCCGCGTGAGCATCCTGACCACAAGATCCTTGGCCTCGTCCGAGATCGACGGCCACGGAGGCCTGACGAGGTTCAGCGTGGCCTGCTTGATGGCCTCAAAGATGGCATCGTTGGTGGTGCCCCAGAAGGGCGGCAGGCCGCACAGCAGGATGTACAGCACCACCCCCGCGCTCCAGATGTCCGCTTCAGGTCCGTATTTTTCGGCCAGCACCTCGGGAGCCAGGTAGTAGGGGCTGCCCGCCATGTCCGTGCACGGCTTGCCTGGGGAGGGGAGGGGTGGAGGGAGGGAGGAGAAGGGAGGGCAACAATGCATTCGGAAGCTGGCAGTGGTGGTGGTGGGGGTTGGATGAGGGAGAGGAAGGGAGGGCACAGCAGGATGTAGAGCACAACCCCTGCGCTCCAGATGTCCGCTTCAGGTCCGTATTTTTCGGCCAGCACCTCGGGAGCCAGGTAGTAGGGGCTGCCCGCCATGTCCGTGCACGGCTTGCCTGGGGAGGGGAGGGGTGGAGGGAGGGAGGAGAAGGGAGGGCAACGATGCATTCGGAAGCTGGCAGTGGTGGTGGTGGGGGTTGGATGAGGGAGAGGAAGGGAGGGCACAGCAGGATGTAGAGCACAACCCCTGCGCTCCAGATGTCAGCCTCTGGGCCGTATTTTTCCGCGAGGACCTCTGGGGCGAGATAGTAGGGGCTTCCTGCCATGTCCGTGCAGGGTTTGCCTGTTGAGGGGAGGAGGGGGGAGGGGAGGCAGGAGGGGTTTTCGGGTGGAGGCCTCACAAGGTGCCCCAGAAGGGCGGCAGGCCGCACAGCAGGATGTACAGCACCACGCCCGCACTCCAGATATCGGCCTCTGGGCCGTATTTTTCGGCGAGAACCTCTGGAGCGAGATAGTAGGGGCTTCCTGCCATGTCCGTGCAGTGCTTGCCTGTTGAGGGGAGGAGGGGGGAGGGGAGGCAGGAGGGGTTTTCGGGTGGAGGCCTCACAAGGTGCCCCAGAAGGGCGGCAGGCCGCACAGCAGGATGTACAGCACCACGCCCGCACTCCAGATATCGGCCTCTGGGCCGTATTTTTCGGCGAGAACCTCTGGAGCGGGATAGTAGGGGCTTCCTGCCATGTCCGTGCAGTGCTTGCCTGTTGAGGGGAGGAGGGGGGAGGGGAGGCAGGAGGGGTTTTCGGGTGGAGGCCTCACAAGGTGCCCCAGAAGGGCGGCAGGCCGCACAGCAGGATGTACAGCACCACGCCCGCACTCCAGATATCGGCCTCTGGGCCGTATTTTTCGGCGAGAACCTCTGGAGCGAGATAGTAGGGGCTTCCTGCCATGTCCGTGCAGTGCTTGCCTGTTGAGGGGAGGAGGGGGGAGGGGAGGCAGGAGGGGTTTTCGGGTGGAGGCCTCACAAGGTGCCCCAGAAGGGCGGCAGGCCGCACAGCAGGATGTACAGCACCACGCCCGCACTCCAGATATCGGCCTCTGGGCCGTATTTTTCGGCGAGAACCTCTGGAGCGAGATAGTAGGGGCTTCCTGCCATGTCCGTGCAGTGCTTGCCTGTTGAGGGGAGGAGGGGGGAGGGGAGGCAGGAGGGGTTTTCGGGTGGAGGCCTCACAAGGTGCCCCAGAAGGGCGGCAGGCCGCACAGCAGGATGTACAGCACCACGCCCGCACTCCAGATATCGGCCTCTGGGCCGTATTTTTCGGCGAGAACCTCTGGAGCGAGATAGTAGGGGCTTCCTGCCATGTCCGTGCAGTGCTTGCCTGTTGAGGGGAGGAGGGGGGAGGGGAGGCAGGAGGGGTTTTCGGGTGGAGGCCTCACAAGGTGCCCCAGAAGGGCGGCAGGCCGCACAGCAGGATGTACAGCACCACGCCCGCACTCCAGATATCGGCCTCTGGGCCGTATTTTTCGGCGAGAACCTCTGGAGCGAGATAGTAGGGGCTTCCTGCCATGTCCGTGCAGTGCTTGCCTGTTGAGGGGAGGAGGGGGGAGGGGAGGCAGGAGGGGTTTTCGGGTGGAGGCCTCACAAGGTGCCCCATAAGGGCGGCAGGCCGCACAGCAGGATGTAGAGCACCACCCCCGCACTCCAGATGTCCGCTTCAGGGCCGTATTTTTCGGCTAAAACTTCTGGGGCCAGGTAGTAGGGGCTGCCCGCCATGTCCGTGCACGGCTTGCCTGTTGGGTAAGGGGGGGTGGATGGGGGACACAGCATGACCACACGCACAGCACAGCAGGATGTAGAGCACCACCCCCGCGCTCCAAATATCCGCCTCCGGGCCGTACTTCTCTGCTAAAACTTCTGGCGCCAGGTAATACGGGCTGCCCGCCATGTCCGTACACGGCTTGCCTGTTGGGTGGTGGGGGTTGGAGGAGGGAGCACACAAGCATCACCGCCCGCACAGCAGGATGTAGAGCACCACCCCCGCGCTCCAGATATCGGCTTCAGGACCGTACTTCTCTGCGAGAACTTCTGGCGCCAGGTAGTAAGGACTGCCCGCCATGTCCGTGCACGGCTTGCCTGGGGGGGTGGGGGATGGGGGGGGGGGGGGGGGGGGGGGGGTGGGGGGCGGGGGCTGGCTCAAGAGAAGGGCGACAGGCCGCACAGCAGGATGTAGAGCACCACCCCCGGCTCCAAATATGATCCCGTGCCGGCGGCGCCGTGCCGTGGCAGTGCCGCAGCAGCGTACGCCAAACGCAGCAAGCAGGGTTGACAGACAGACAGCACCAGAACCAGCAGAACCAACCAACCAACCACAGCAGCAGAACCAACCAACCAACCACAGCAGCAGAACCAACCAACCAACCACAGCAGCAGAACCAACCAACCAACCACAGCAGCAGAACCAACCAACCAACCACAGCAGCAGAACCAACCAACCAACCACAGCAGCAGAACCAACCAACCAACCAACCACAGCAGCAGAAGCAGCAGCAGCACCTGGAGAGCTCACCTTTCTGGAAGAAGGTAGCAACACCCCAGTCAATCACTTTCAGATCGGTATCACTTTGATTCGACACCAAGAGAATGTTCTCGGGCTTTAAGTCCCGGTGCATGATGCCGGCCCCGTGGCAGTGCCGCAGCACCAGCACCACCGTGCGGATCACCCGCGCCGCGTCGCCTTCCGGGAACTTTCCCCGCAGCTTGATGCGGTCGAATAGCTCGCCGCCCTCGCACAGCTCCATGATCAGATGCACGTCCTGGGAGATATGCGTGGTGGTGAGGGGTTGGGTGGGGTGGTGTGGGGTCAGGTGAGGGATAGGGTTGGATGGGGCTGCGGGTATGAGCTCTCCACCCTCGCACAGCTCCATGATCAGATCAGATGCACGTCGTGGGGGGTCGAGAGGGGTGCAGTGCGGTGGGGATGGGGTAGGATGGGGTGGTGGGGAGTGGTGAGGGGTGGTGTGGGGTGGGGCTGGGTGTATGAGCTCGCCGCCCTCGCACAGCTCATGATCAGATCAGATGCAGGTCCTGGGGGGTGGAGAGCGGAGGTGGTGGGGGGTGGAGAGCGGAGGTGGTGGGGGGTGGAGAGCGGAGGTGGTGGGGGGTGGAGAGCGGAGGTGGTGGGGGGTGGAGAGCGGAGGTGGTGGGGGGTGGAGAGCGGAGGTGGTGGGGGGTGGAGAGCGGAGGTGGTGGGTGGGGTGGTGAGACGCGGTGGGGTTGTGTTGTGTGGGTAGTGAGGTGCTGTGGGGTTGCGTGGGTCTGGGTGTATGTATACGCTCCCCATTCTCACACAGTGGCTTGATCAGATGCACGTTCTAAGGGGGTGGTGCGGAGGAAGGTAGGGTGGGGTGGTGGGAGGTGGTGAGGGGTGGAGCTGGGTGCATGATCTCCATGATTATGCGCGGTTTGGGGTGAGGGATGGGGTGGGTTGCAGTGCGGTGGGGAGGGTGGGGTGGGTTGCAGTGCGGTGGGGAGGGTGGGGTGGGTTGCAGTGCGGTGGGGCGGGGTGAGCCCCCAACCCCACACACGGCCCAACTCCCCTCCATCCTCCTCACCTGAGCGTCTTCAAAGGCGTTGCGCAGGTTGACAATGCTGGGATGGCACCTCAGCAGCCCCTCCTCCTCCTCCCCTGCGCATCCCCCTCCCTGCGCCCCCACCTTTCCCTCACCTGAGCGTCTTCAAAGGCGTTGCGCAGGTTGATAATGCTGGGATGGCACCTCAGCAGCCCCTCCTCCTCCTCCCCTGCGCATCCCCCTCCCTGCGCCCCCACCTTTCCCTCACCTGAGCGTCCTCAAAGGCGTTGCGCAGGTTGACAATGCTGGGATGGCACCTCAGCAGCCCCTCCTCCTCCTCCCCTGCGCATCCCCCTCCCTGCGCCCCCACCTTTCCCTCACCTGAGCGTCCTCATAGGCGTTGCGCAGGTTGACAATGCTGGGGTGCCCCTTCAGCATCTCCATCACCGCTACCATCACAGACAGCAGTGCAGCAGCCATCAACCCTGCACGTCCCTCTACCCGTGCCTCTTCGCTCGCCCCCCCACTTTACCTGTGCGTCCTCAAACGCGTTGCGCAGGTTGACAATGCTGGGATGGCCCTTCAGCAGCTCCATCACCTCACCGCCACCTCCCCCCATTCCCCTGCCCTGAACGTCTCGCCTGCCCGCCCCTCTGCCCATCCCTCTGTCCGCCTTTCTGCCCGCCTCTCCCTCCATTCCCCTCACCTGAGCGTCCTCAAAGGCGTTGCGCAGGTTGACAATGCTGGGATGGCCTCTAAGCATCTCCATCACCGCTACCTCCCTCCGCACGTCCTCTATATCCTGCTGGCACTGTTGACAAGAAAGGGAGTGGGTGGGGGCGGGGGGTGGGAGTGGGAATGGGATAGAGCGGCAAGTGCGAGTCCCCATCACAATGCTGGGGTGCCCCTTAAGCATCTCCATCACCGCCACCTCCCTCCGCACGTCCTCTATGTCCTGCTGGCACTGTTGAGAGGAAGGGGACGGGGATGGGGAAGGAAGGAAGTATGGAGAATGGGGAAAGGGAAGGTGGGCCCCTCATCATCCCCATCACCGCTACCTCCCTGCGCGCGTCCCCTATGTCCTGCTGGCACTTTGACAGGAAGGGGAAGTGAAAGGGAAGGGGGAGAGGGGAGGGGGAAAGGGAAGGTATGAAGGATGGCTGCTCTGCATGTCCATATGCTGCATCCCCCCCCCCCCAATGCCCTTGCATGCACACAACTGCAACGCACGCAGCACACCCCTCGAAGCACAACTGCACACATGCACCCCTTCCTTTTCTCCCCCCCACACCCCGAACCTTCCCCCACCCCATCCCATCCTCCTCTTCCCCCACAATCCACGCACCTGCACCATTCCCTTGCATGCACAACTGAATGTGCACCTAAACATGTACACCCCATCCCCTCCCCCTCCCCCACCTCATCCCCCCCTTCCCCATCCCCTCCCCCTCCCCCCTTCCCCTGTCGCCCGTCCCCTGCCCCCTGCCCCACTTCCCCTCTCCGGCTTTCCCCCTCCCCCTCCCCCCCTCCTCTTCTCCCTCCCCAATCTCTCCCCTGCTGATCGACTTGCACACACACACCCCGATAACACAAGTGCACACACGTCCCCAGCCAACTACCTCCCTCTTCCCCCACCCGCTCATCCCCCCGCTCCCAACACCCCACATACCTGCAGCATGCTTTTGCTAATAGACTTGCACGCGAATCTCTCCCCTGAAACGCGGTACCCCATCCTTCCCCCCCCTCTCTCCCACCCCCCTCCTCAATAACACAGATGCACACACGCTCCCTACTAACCACTTCTCTCTTCTCCCCTCCTCTCCCCTCCCCACCAACCCCCCCCCAACACTCCACATACCTGCAGCATGCTTTTGCTGATCGACTTGCACGCGAATCTCTCCCCTGACACACGGCACACACACTCCCCCATCACGCCCATGCACACGCGGCACACACACTCCCCCATCACGCCCATGCACACGCGGCACACACACTCCCCCATCACGCCCATGCACACGCGGCACACACACTCCCCCATCACGCCCATGCACACGCGGCACACACACTCCCCCATCACGCCCATGCACACGCGGCACACACACTCCCCCATCACGCCCATGCACACGCGGCACACACACTCCCCCATCACGCCCATGCACACGCGGCACACAGCAATGCACTGATTCAAACAACATCCCTCCCCCCTCCCCCCCCCCCCCCCCCAACACTCCACATACCTGCAGCATGCTTTTGCTGATAGACTTGCACGCAAATCTCTCCCCCGAAACGCGGCACATGCACCCGCGAATCACCCCAAACCTCCCTCGCCCCAGCTCATTCTTATCCACCTTATAAGCCTCCTTCACATCCGCTAAAGGCCGCTTCAATATATTCACAGTTCCCCCCTGATCCGCGCTCCCTCCCCCTCCCCCTCCGCCTCCCCCGACTCCGCCCCCTGCTCCCCCTCCCCCCCCTCCCGCTGCTGCCGCTTCTTTTCTCGCTGCCCGAATCACCTCTCTGTTTTTTCTGGTCAGCCTGGCTTGTAACCCTTCCGGTGTGACTGGCCTAGCCCCTGGGGAGGGTTGTGGCACCACTGCTACAGTGTTCCCCTGCGCCATCCCCGCCGCTTTGTCCACATCTGGCGTTTTCGGGCGGCTGGAAAACACCGAAAATATTCCTCTCCGGGCAGGTTTCTTTTCCTCCACTGCAATCCGGTCCACGGGCAGCTTCAAAGCCGCCACGTCAGCGACTAATCTCTCCTTCTCTATCGTCCTCCTCTCCTTATCCGTCCTCTTCCTATCATCCTTCTCCTTAACCTCCCTCTCCATTCTCTTCAACTCCTCCTGTAGTTTCCTCCTCTCCTCCCTCTCTCGTTCGAGCTCCATAGCTAGCCGCCTATGCTCCTCATCCATATGACTCTCCCCCTCGTATCTTCCCCCGCCGCCCCTCTCGTCTCCCCCGTACTCCTCCCTCCGCCGCCCATACCCATGCGAAGTATACGGACGGTCCTGGCTCCCATGCCCCCCGCCGCCCCCGCTCCAGCCCCTTTCGTCCTCATAGTCTTTAGATACCGAGCTAGACCGCAGACTTGTGCTGGGAGACCTAAGGGGGGCCCTGCGCGCGCCGCCCCCGCCCCCTCCGCCTCCGCCGAGGTCTTCAGGCATCACTTCGGAGGCGGAGCGGGGGACAGTGGGCATCCTTCCGCCCTCCCCCCCCCGGTCGCGCTCCTTCAGGGACCCCCCCGGTCCCGCGAGGGCGGCCTCCGCGGTGGACATGCTCCGCGGGACGCCCGGGCGCGCATACGCGGAGTTCACGTCCGCCGTCCGCGGGCGCCGCCCCTCCGCCGTCCCCGGCCGCGCGAGCAGCTCCGCGCCGGACGGCGTGCGGGGGCGCAACTCCGCTCCGCCGCCTTCCGCCACGCTCCGCCGCCCGAAACTCTTCGCGCGCCCGCCCAGCGACGGGTCAAGGCTCCCCGGACCTCCGCGGGAAGGCGGGCGGCCGGCGGCGTCCCCCACCGGTCTGAGGTGCGACCTCCCCGGAGTGACCGCCTCGTCCGCGTTCCGCCCCCCCCCGCGGGACGCCGACCGCGGGGGGGGCGTGCGCGGGGAGCCTTCATACCCCGCTCCCCCGTCCCGCTCGCGCGGATTCCCGCGCCTTCCGCTGCCGCTCGATCTCTCATCGTAATCCCCGTCCGCCCCGTACTCGTCGCGCCGAGAGCCGGACGCGCGGCGGCGGGAGGACGACGACGAAGATTCCTTCCCCGGGGAATCTATACCATCCCCCAGCTCCCCGCCTTCTAATTCGCAGAGAGAATCTTCCACCCAGCGACTCACGGCGCGCTCCTTAGAAGGAGACATTAGAGGTAAGTCGCCCTCCGCGTCGCCCTCTGCTAAGTACCTAACTCTGTCCCGGTCCCTAAAGCTGCTGGCACGGTCTCGTGGTTCCCGTTCTCGGTCCCTATACCCCCCTCGTTCGCGCTCCCTGTCCCTGTCTCTATCGCGGTCGCGGTCCGCTTCGCGCACCGCGGCTCCGGAGTTCGAGAGATTAATCTTCGCGGACTGCGACTTGTGGAACGCGCGACGCGGCGGCGAGCCCTGCCCGCGATACCCGGAGGAGTAAGAACCCGAGTGCGGCAAACCCGGCGCCTCATCCCCGTACCCTCCCCCTCCGCCTTTCGTACTCGCGCTTCCGACTAACCTCCGCGGCGGCCAATCTCCGCTCGTCCCGCTGACTCCGTCTACGTCATCGTCAGCTGACGGACCCGGACGGGACGGCATCCGCCGGCCGCCGCTACTCGCCGGCCGTTGCGGCGGAGCGCCCGAAGACGACGACGACGACGCTTGCCAATCCGGAACGCGGCTGCTGCTGCCGCTTCGCGGACTCATCGCCGCGCCGCCGTCCTCCGGCCGCCTCGGCCGGCGAACGCCACCGGAAGTCGCCGGCCGGCCCGCCGGCGCCTCCTCGCTGCTGCTTCCGCGAGAGCGATCCCGAGGTAAAGCACCGTTTCCTGTTCTGCTGCCACCGCCAGCGCTGTCGTCATCCCAGCCGTCGTCTCGTGTTCTCCCCCGCCGCTCTTCCCGCACCATCTGGGAATGCTGGTGTGACGACACGTGGCTGTTGAAATCGTTACTCGTGCGACTCGTTGACGGTCTTAGAGGCGGCTCGAAGGTAGAATGCTGGCTGGACGACGCGTGGCTGTCGGAGTCGTTACTCGCGCGGCTCGTCGACGACCCCTCTCCGCCTCCCCCGAAGATTGTCCTGGGTGATTGGCCGCTTCCGGAGTGTGCTTTCCGGGAATCCCGGAGGCTGCTGCCACGTGTCGCCGTCTCGTTGGCAGATGAGTTCCCTATTCCGCGCACATTGTTGTCGACCAGGCGCTCCGAGCCTCCTCCCATGCTAACGCCTTCATGATCGGCTGTGGCCGCGATTTGCGGAGAGGCAGTTCTACGGTGAGCGGGTCTTGAGAATGTGGCGTATGGAAATTAAATACCTGGTTACGATCGTTATAAAAGATACATTAAAATAACTACGACCGGGAAAATCGTGTCTGATTTTGCAAAGACCACTTGACACTCAGCCTGTGCATCGCAGCCGCCATTCTCCTCCTGCACACTCTAAGCTGCACGAAACGCTTCTCGAAGGTCGGCTGCCTTAGTTACTACACGACTAGTTAAGCAGAGTCTGGTATTACCCTGACGGTGGACACTCCGAGACGTACAGGTTGACGAGATGAAGGAAACCCTACTAAAGTTTTTAGTAAGACAAGGCTAAGTGATGTCCTCTCAGTCATGACATACGGAGATTATCTGAGGCAGGAGTGAAGGCATAACATCTCCATAGAGTCCCCGAGCACCTGGACCGTTCTAAATGTCTTTCTATCTCTACAAAACGTACCAAAACCCACTGAACCTGTGGGAGATGAACACCCGGAGATGTGCTTTCACACATGGACACCTAGACACTGACGGAAGTCCCAGTGCAGGCAGAGACGAGGTGGTTTGGTATATAGAAACAGTTGGGGGAGGACACGTACCTGTAGTGAGGGTACTACCGTCAGCAGATAAAATGGAGGCTTTCTAGATGAACGATCAGGTTCGGTAAAAACCTGCTGGCTCGGTCGGTTCTGTGTGGATCAGCTTGGCTGCCGGGGACAGTCTTGGCATGATGAACACGAAACTTAGCGAAAGTCAGAGTTGGATGATGCTGACAGAGTCTCAGCATGGTGACGGAATTAGCTAAGTACCACAGCCGACCAGGAGAAAAACCAAGTAGAGCAAGTGTACAACCATATCTCACCACGTTTGGTTTTCAGGGTCACGTTCAACCCAGCCCTGGGAAATGTGATCCCAGATTGATTTCCATTGGAACATAGGTAGGGCCTGAAAAAAAAGGGTAATGCTAGGCTTGGGCAAGGCAGTCTCTAGGTTGACGTTGCCTGGCCGCGTCGCAGGTCATTGATCAGGCCCAGGCTCGTCTAACAATGGAGGTTCGGCAAATCAATCCGTTTCAGAAACCTCAATACTATTTTTGGTCGCCTGAGTACCACATATCCGCGTATAGACTCCGCACACTGGATACCAATAACAATCAATGCATATATTGTTTATCGCCATTACCTGTCATCAATTCCCATACAAATACCGTGTCAGCATCTCAGCCTAAACATGCTCTCCTCACTGTCACAAAGCCAGCTACAGTAAAATCTGTATATTCAATGACACCCATGCACATATTCATATCGTCACAACACCAACATGCATCTTCCTGAAAACACAATCTTGCCTGAGCGTCCGTACTCAGGCCACGTATAAAATAGTTACTCAGTTGGTGGTGGTGATGGTGGAGGGGGGGAAGGGGGAGGAGGGGCGGGAGGGAGGGGGGGAAGGCGGAGGGAAGGGAGGAGGGGGAGGGGAGTCCGGGGAGGCGCAGGAGGAACTGCACCAGGAACGAGCAGCGCCATATCCGGAATAAATAAATCCGACTATATATTCATTCATTCTGCTGAAGAATCCTCGCAGCAACACTGTTCTAAATCACTCTGTTGGTGGTGGTGGTGGAGGGGCGGGAGGGGGAGGAGGAGGGGAGTCCGGAGGAGGAGCAGGAGGCACAGCACCAGGAACCAGCAGCGCCATATCCGGAATAAAGAAATCCGAGGAGATATGCACAAGCGTCTGCACCACGATAGTGACATTCTGCCCCGAGCTCGTGATATTCCGCGGCTCCTGAATGTATATTATATTCGGCCGAACGATTTTCACAGCGGGGTAGCTCAAAGCCGGCTCCGAAAACAGGGAAACCTCCTCCTTACACCCCGGCTCCCGGTAAAACCTCTTGAAGTACGGGCAGCGGGTCTTAGCCAGCGTAACAGACATATCAGTCAGCAGCGTCGGTAGCGAACCAGTCGACTTGTTAGTCAACTCCGCGTAGGTCTGAATACCGAAAACCCCCTGGTAGCTCAGGAGAAGCGTCTCGGCCGCAGCGCCGTTGTCTGTGATAAGCTGCTTCACGGGTGCAGGGATGCGGGCGTGCGCGTCGTCCGTGGGAGCAAAGAAGGTGACGTTGGGGGAGGTGGCGGTGGTGAGGAGGGCGATGAAGCCGGAGCGTACGATCATGTCCGCCGTCTTGGTGCATCCGAAGAGGCGCAGGCGGCTCATTATCGTGTCGTCCGCCGTGGGAGGTGGAGGGGGGGCAGGGGGGGCCGGGGGCGGCGGGGGAGGGGCGTCTGTTGACTCGGCTGGAACGGGGGGAGGGCAGGGAAGAGAGGGACGGGGGACGAAGGGATGGGGAAGAGGGAGAGCGTGGGAAGGGAGGCAGTGTAGGAGGCAGGGAAGAGGTGTCAGTTGATTCGGCTGGAAAGAGGAGAGGGCAGGGGATGGGGTTATGGGGAAAAGGGAGTCGCTTGGAGTCAACACAAAAGAGGTGAGGACAGGGAACAGGTGGGGGTGGGCAATGAGGGAAGGGAGAAGGAGGGAGGGGGGAGGGGGGAGGTCGCAAGAAGAAACGCAAGCATGGAAGGATAGGAGAGCGTGAGAGAGCAGCGATGAAGGGAGAAATAAGTGCACAGCGGGGAGAAGTGCAACGGATCAGATCAGAAAACGTCAGTAGACTTGACTCAAAAGTCGACTTGGTGCAGGCCAAAAGGTGCAGGACGAAGGAATTCGGGGGTGAGAGGAGAGATGCGGCGCGGTGGGTAGAAATGGAGGGTTACAGACAGATGGAAAGGGGGTGATGGAAGGTAGAGAGAGGATGGCATAGGGGAAAACGAACAGTGAATAGAAACAGGTCATATGACCAACAAAGGAGAATAGTTTACAAGCAACAGCACGAGACACGTGACTCACTCATTAAGATTGAGAACGCAACTAAAGAAAGGCGTTTGAGTGGATAGAAATTACAGTGACAGACTCGTGACTCACTCATTGGTAAGATCATGGATTGGGCCGAAGCAGCATAGGCTGCACTGAAAGGGTTAACCGCCGCTGCCACTGCTGTTCCTGCAGGGAAGGAGGAGGAGGAGGAGGCGGCGGAAGAGGAGGAGGGGGAATCGAAGGGCGCCAGCAGCACCTTGACTGGCGGAATGAGCACTCGGTTGATCACATGGATCGTGATTCCATCCCCGCTAGTGGCATCCCCGCTAGCAGCAGCATCCCCGCTAGCAGCAGCATCCTCGCTAGTAGCAGCTTCATTATCAGCACCAGCTCCGGTACTAGCAGCTTCGCTATTAATATCCGATGCCACAACCCGAGCCACTCTGCTCAGAAGAGGAACCATGGGGAGCGGCGAGAAGGCGAGGGCCTTCCCCACGTGCTCCGCCTTCACACTCCGCCCCTCCAGCAGCGTGTCAAATATCTCATACCCCTCGATCCCCGCCGCCTCTATCCCCGCCTCAAACTGCTTTGACGAGACGCGGCCACGTGGCAGGATGTGATAGGCCACGAGGTTTTTAAGAACCAAGTCCGCCTTGGGACCCATGAGGAGGGCTTTAATCGGCAGGGGGAGGGTCCAGAAGGCGAGGTTGGTGGGCGCGAGGAGTGTAGCGGGGCCGGATAGGGAGTGTAGTATCCTTGTGGCGGCGAGGTTCTTAGCGAGTACAGTGAGGCCTCGCTTTGCTAGCTCATCTATGGTCTGCTGGCGCGCGCTGAGTGACAGCTCGGGAAGCATACGCCTGGCACCTGAAGTAGCACCTGAGGAAACACCTGAAGCAGCACCTGAATCGCCGTACACTTCCCGTCCCTCAGAACCCGCTGCTGTCTCTAGCGCCGCTTCCCGAACCTCATCCACCTCGTCCGCTTCCCCTTCCCCTTCCCCCTCCCCCTCCCCTTCCCCTTCCCCTTCCTGCGCCAAGTCCACGGCCATGGGGGGAGGCGCAGTGCTATAAGGCTCCGCCAAGGGGGGAGGCGCGGCGCTGTACGGCTGCCCGCGCGCGTCCTCAAACGAGATCAGCTGGCGCTTCATGACGAACCCGCCCGTGGGCGGGGGCGGCGGCGGGGGAAGCGGGGAGATCCGCGCCTGGTTTCCGCTCTCGGCGGAGATCGGAGGGGGGGGAACGCGCGGGGGAGGGGGAGCAGGAGCGGAAGCCTGGAGTTTAGCCTCCTCCCAGAACGCCCCCCCTTCCGCCTCCAAGTCCCCCACCATGTCTAGCGCCTGCGTCCCTAGCGGGGGGGCTTGCGCGGGGCCGGGGCCGGGCGCGGGGCCGAGGGGCGGGGGGACGGGCGCGGGGGAGGGAGGCTCGGGGATGGAGAGGAGATCGTACGGCGGGATGAGCACGGAGCTGCTGACGTGGACGGTCGCGATGCCGTTGCTGAAGGACGACCCGGGGATGATGGTCGCGGCGGCGTAGTCCGGAGGCTCGGGGGAGAAACGGACAAATGTCGAGCCTACTTTCGTATCCACGGGATGCTCGTCCAACAGGGTCGGATACTTGTGATTCCCCGCGGATCGCAGTTGCTTCACTGTAAGCCGCTCCGTTATAACGTGATACTTCATCAGCCTCGGTAACACCTGTTCCCCCCTCGCGGTGAAAAACAGCTGCCGGACCGTCCAGGGGAGGAAGCGATACGCGAGCTGCGTCGGCGCGAGAACGGTAACCGGGTTACCCTCCGTCGCGAGATCCAGAACGCCGGACTGCGCGAGATTCGCGGCTGTGCGGCCCAGCCCGTGGCGCGAGAGCCAATAGAGCACCTGCTGCTGCGGCGTGAGCGTTATAGAAGACGGCCGGATAACCGGACTCGGCACGGCCACTGGCGCTGCCTTTCCGCGCTTCCCCGCACCTGCCGCGGCTGCAATTCTGCCGCCGAACGCGGAGGCGGATTCGACGAAGTTTTTCTTAGATGGCGGCGGTCGAATCTTCCCTCCGCTTCCGCCATTGGCGGGCGACTTGGTTTTGGAAACCGGAGGCGCGTTCTTAGTCTTAGTCGTCGTCGTGGTGGTGGTGGCGGAAGAGGAGGAGGGTGATGCGTCGGGAGGCGAGAGGAGATCCAACGGCGGAACGAGCACCGCGCTGACAGCCTGGCAGATCGCGAGCCCGTTATAAGCAACATCCTTTGCTATCACAACCGTACCCCCGCCACCGCCACCGGCTGGGCTGCCGCTGCCGCTATCCGCGGCCCGCTTCCCGCCGTCAGAAGGAGCGAACCAAAGAGACTCCCCTCCCGCGACTGTCGGCGCTGCGGGAAAGCCGGAGCGCGCGAATCCAACGGTCAGAGTCTGGTCTGTAAGCAGCGTCTTCACGCGCCGCCCTCTGAGCTTCAAGAAGTAGTTAAAATTAATCCGCGGCTGGAAAATGTGGTAGAGAAGGAGGTTCTTAAGTACGGCTTTCGCGTCCGGGCCTCTTAGTAGCTTCTGAACGGTTTGCGGGAGATTAAGGAACGCGCGGTCTGAGGGGACGAGGAGGGAGAAACCCCCTGCGCGCGCGACGTTCGGAGGGAGTGCGGAGAGAACGTCCGTTTTCTCCAAAGCGCTCGCGAAGGTTCGGAAGCCGAGCGAACGAAGGCGCGCGATGGTTTGCGTCGCGAGGTCGGACTGATCTGGGGAAGCGGATGGGGAGGCGGAAGCGGAAGCGGAAGTTTCGGAGAGAGTCCTCCGCGGAGACTCTGATGGGGAAAAAGGAAATGAAGGAATGCGGGGAAAGAAGGTGGTACGAGATTAGGGATGAGAAACAGCTGGAATGATTCAAACAAGAGAGAAGGTGGTATGAATCAAAACAGAAATGTTGGTCTATGTTTGAGGAACCTAAAACAGAAAACGGTAATATCGGTGAAATGAAGAAGACACGAAAACAGAAAAGCGGGAACTAGACAGGAAGCAAGAAAGCGTTCCGAGACCTCTCAAAGCCGTCATGAGCGGGAACACGACAGCGCGGGAGATGCGGCAGGTGAAGTAACATCAGACATAAGTTACCTTGACGGGCAACGTCGTCATTGACGGAATCCGTCTGCTCGCCTCCCTCCTCTTGAACCTTTCCCGACGCAACATCGTCTTCACTTTGTAGCACATCCGCTGCAGTCACACCGCGAGCTCTCAGCTTTGATCCCAGATGGTACGCTTGCTCGTCCGACACCTCCTCCTCGCCGGGTCTAACTGCGAACTTCCTTTCGTACGCCATAATGAGTTCCTCGTCATCCGCGCTAAAGGTGGGGAACTCGAAGTTTTCAGACGGATTCTGGTTAGCAACTGACGGAGATTCGTCAGCTGAAACGAAAAAGGAGGCTGGAGCGGTTGCTGTTGCTGCAGCTGCTGCGAGTAGCAAGAGCGGAAGCAGCGATGGAGCGGGAATGAAGAGGCGTTGTGACCTCATGGTAAGCCAGTGGGAGAGACTGGCAAGAAAACAGGGTTCAATACGGGAAATGCGAGGAATACGAGAAACGCGGAGAGACACGAAATCGGCACCGCTAGTCTAGGTTAAATACAAACGACTAAGTAACGACAAGGACTACTCCTACCAAGGCACTCTCAGGCATTGTCATACTTGACGGCTTATGGCATTGAAAATAATATACAGCAATGGAGAATGTCTCTAGAGTTAAGTTTCTAAATAGTCTGCACGATGGGCTAGTCACAACAAAATAGTAGTGTGTGCAATGGCTGCAGCGATAGTCATTCAGCTCGCATAAGGGGAGACTCCCATTCCATGGCGGCTGTCAGGCTTTTCAGTAGCACTACATTCTGCACGGCACTGCTGTTTTCCGCGAGATAAAGTGCTCTGTAGCGTGGTGGAGGGTCCAAGTTGAACGAATGTACGATACGAACGACAAACGTATCGTCACGCCAAGTTCCCAGCGAAATGAGACGGAATCCGACTATATTTGACTGCAACCGTTTCACTCCGTCCAACGGATTTTGCTGGCATTGGCGTTTCAAAGGAAACGGAATAGAACCTGCCGTCAAGCTGACCGTCAGCCACGACGGACTCCGCTGGAACCTGTCCCCCAAGTTTGTCACGTTGCACGAGATTCGTTTTTCGCAAACATCCCTCACAGCCCACCCCCTGTCCCCTACTCACACCCATCCGCCAGCATGCGTGCCTGCCAGGCCATTCCTCACTCACCGCCAGCCTGTGAGGGGCTGCTGCGATTCCTCCCCTGCCTGGATGCCTGCCTCCCTTCCCCAGGGTGTGCGTCTGCCTGCATGCCTCCCCTGGGTCGACTCGGATCCGTCGGTGGGGGAGTTTCGCCCTCAAGCCCCTACACCACCGACCAAACCCCAACTACCCTGCGGAACGGGATAGTTCCGCTGAGCGGAATGGCTCCGCCCCGCAAAAGCTCTTCCGTGCACAACATTCGCGATATAGAAGTGGAGCCACCTGTTATAATCGATACTAAAGGAACCAGCTATACATCTAAGCAGGATTGATTGGCCCATAGCTAAGTACCCCACTTTCATCAAACTCCCTATCAGAATCTTCAAATACTTGACCGCGAAATGAAAACATGCTTGGCCTATCCGGATCCCTCACCAGGGAAGCGTTTCTCCTATCTCGCCCCAACCCACCACTGCCTCCTTCCTGCAATTTCAATCAAATGACAGCTCCATGCTTCCACCCTCTGCTATAGCACCACCCCCCTCCTCCCTGATATCATTATGACCTTGCCGTACTTCTCCTTCTCTCATCCCTCCCATATCTCCTGCTTGATTTGACCCCCCAGTCTGTTGTACATTTTCAATCTGCGCCTCTGGAACCCTCTCGTTCCCAACTCCTCGGGATAAGCTTATATCATGATGGTGGTGTATTTGCCGTGTTACCGCCGATGTAACCGGGAGCACTCGCTCAGGCTCTAACACCGATTCCAACTCGGTTACCACTCGGTTCATGGAAGGCCGGGCGGCAGGGTTCTTGATGTCTGTGCACCTGAAGGCCAGGCTGAGCACGCTGGTCACCTCTTTTTCAGGGTAAATGCCCATGGATTGGTCAACTATCCCTGCAAGCCCCTTCTTGTCGAGCAAATTCTGGACCTGAATAAAATAGTGGCAAGAAAAGAAGGGGGGAAGGGGGTGTTCGTGGGGAATTTTGAGTGAGGGAATATACGGGGGAGAGTCTGCAGGAATCAGACTGCAAGCGTGAGTTAGCAAGGGGTGGCAAAGAGTCAATGTAACACAGATGCATGCTGGGAAACCGAGAACGTTCACCCGGTTATGGGTCCAAACACGTTAAGATGGCACGAGTAGAGTCCAATTTCTATATAAACACGAGAAAAGCCGCACCTAAAAAGAGGAAAGCAAGAAAAGGTCACGACATGAAAAAGTTATGCCCAATCACTTGGAAGCGGTACAGCCTAGGAATGATCTCTTTCCTTTTCTTTTTCTTTTTTGTTCTGTGTTTCCTTTTGTAAAAGAAAAGAGGCTTCTCACTCACATGGAAGCGGTAGGGCCTGGAGATGCCTCTGGGCGACTTGCCAGTGATGAGCTCCAATAGCACGATGCCAAAGCTGTACACGTCTATGCGCTTCGATGGCTGCCCCGATTTGAGGTAATCCGGATCACAGTAGCCCTGTGAGGTGGTGTGGGAGGTGGGAGAACACGGGGAGAACGAGGGCAGACCGAGAAGAAATTGATGGGAGATTGAGTGGAGACCAAGGGCTGAGCTCCAATGGGACAATGCCAATGGGACATGTGCTATATGCACGTGTTATACACACAGAGAAACACAACCATACTCACCGCAGTGCCTTGGATGGTTGCAGAGTAGGATGATGTGTCCACGGCTCTCGACGTGCCAAAATCTGCCAGCTTCGCCACCACGTGCCGATCCAACAGGATGTTGCCAGGCTGTGCAGAGCAGTGCAGAGTGGTGCAGAGTGGTGCAGAGCGATGGAAGAAGAAAGCATAGATATGGAGAGAGATTAGGAGGGCGAGAGAAGTGCTTTGCCACCACTTGCCAATCCAAGAGGCTGTTACCAACTGGGCTGTTACCAACTGGGCTGGAAGGGCAAGCAAACATGAGAGTACACAACGACAATCAAGCAAATAGGACAATCGCACAAACATACACCACTCTGGGCCTCTGATGACATCAGCATAACCAGTTGTGACATCAGCTCCTCATGCAAATTAACCCATCCAATCCAATCCAATCCAATCCAATCCTATCCAATCCGATCCAATCAAATCCAATCTCCCACCTTCACATCCCGGTGGATGAAAGGCATGCTGACGTCATCATGCAGGTACGCCAGCGCGCGCGCCGTACCCGCCGCCACCAGCAGCCGCTCGGTCCAGTTGAGGGGCGGCTTGTTTTGTCTGGCTCGCCAGGGCGAATTGAGGTTGTGAGAGAGGGTGCCCCCCCCTATGAACTCGTATACCAGCAGCTGCTCCTGCTCCTCCCTGCAATACCCCAGCAGCTGCACCAGATGCTTGTGACGCACTCTGGAGAGAAGCATCACCTGGCACAGGGGGGAGTGGAAGCATGGGTGATTGGGGGAAAGAGAAAGGAGGAGGTGGAATTGAGGTTCTGGTTCTGTGGGAAGGTGTTTTCTCCCTGCCCCCCCCTATGAACTCGTATACCAACAGCTGCTCCTGCTCCTCCCGGCAATACCCCAGCAGCTGCACCAGATGCTTGTGACGCACTCGAGACAGCAGCATCACCTGATGGGGGAGCGGGGGGAAATGATCGGTGACCGAGTGTGTGGAGGGAGGAAAAGGATTAGGATGAGAGAACGAAGTACAAACTCGTGTATTTTCAGGTGCTCCTGATCCTCTTTTGAGGCGCCTCAAAACTCGTGTATTTTCAGGTGCTCCTGATCCTCTTGGCAATGCCCCACGTCAACTCATCACACATCTTGCTTGAGTTAATGAATGTCTTGTGGCCTTGGTTCATCTCACTCCCTTTCCACTCTCACTCTCACACTAATCTCACTTCATCTCATCTCACTCCATCTCATCTCACCTTGAACTTGCTCACGTCTTGCCGCTGATCTGCCTTGCTCTTTGGCTACCCAACTTCTCACTCCGTCCCACTCCATCTCTATTCAATCCCATTCTATCACTACTCCATCTCACTCCATCTCACTCCATCTCACTCCAACTCACTGCATCTCATAGCACCTCCTTCATGAACTTGCGCATGTCTTGCCGCCGTTCCGCCTTGGTTCATTTCACGCGCTTTACTCTCTCATTCCCCAGCATCTCACTCCATCTCACTCCATCTCACTCCATCTCACTCCATCGCACCTCCTTCTTGAACTTGCGCATGTCTTGCCGCCGCTCTGGCTTGGCTCGTTTCACCGCCACCACCTCTCCCGACTTAAGCCTCCCTCGGTACACCTGGCGCCAAGTCATTGGTGCAGGGAAGCAGGCAAGGAAGGAGGAGGTGGGGGGAAGACACAGCAGGGTTTAGTTTAGGGTGTAAGTGTGCATCGATTCCTTTTGAGGCGCCTCAAAAGGGTGTCAGTGCGCCTCGATTCCAAGCTATGGAGTGTGCCTTATAATGTGCCTCGATCCTCGTGGCCTTATAATGTGGATTCCAACGCCACTTCCATCCAGTTTGATAGCCGCGTTAAAAACAGTCACCTTTCTATGTCATGCAATGTCACCACACCACCATCCCGTAGCACCACTCACTCACACACCCACCTGTCGCATCCCATCCCATCCTGTCCCGTCCCGTTGCACCACTCACATTGCCGTAGCTGCCCTGCCCCAGGTGGTTCTTGTCTGCAAAGCCGTCAGTGGCAGCAACAAGGTCCGAGAGGGTAAATTCCACCACCGTCTGAATGTCAGGATTCTCGACTCAGAACACAGCCATACCATGCCATACCGTACCATACATACACCACAGCACCACTCACATTGCCGTAGCTGCCCTGGCCGAGGTGGTTCTTGTCTGCAAAGCCGTCAGTGGCAGCAACGAGGTCAGCGAGGGAGAACTCCACCACCTTCTGAATGTCAAACGACGCCTCCTCCCCCTCACTCTCCGCCGCTGCACCCCCTGCACGCGCACCACCAGCACCACCGCCAGCAGCAGCAGCAGCAACACTAGCACCACGACGAGCAGCAGCAGCAGCAGCAGCAGCAGCAGCGCTGGTACCAGCAGCAGCGCCAGCAGCAACATTATCTTCTTGATATTCGACATCGTCCCCCCAGCCCCCCTCCTCACCCTCCAACTGCTCCCCAAGTGGTCTCCTCTTCTCTCGCCTACCCCCAAAAGGACTGGGTAAACCACCCCCAAACGGGCTGGGTAAACCACCCCGGCCACTAACCCCCCGGCCACTCCCACTTCCAATGCTACAGCTATTGCTGTTGCTGATGCTGTCACTCCCGCTCTCCCCACCGTCACTCGAACCGTGTGGTGCAACCACTGAGAATCCGCCACGTGGCGTGTGGGGATTGGGCGGGAGGCGGCGGTAGAGCAGGAGAGCCATGGTGGAAGCGGCTAGAGCGGAGATGAGAGCGAGAGAGAGGGTGATGGTGAGGGCTGATATGAGGATGGCCCGACTCGTGGGGGAGAGAGCGGTGGGCTCACTGGTGGTCGTGCTGGTGGTGGTGCTGCTGCTGTTGCCGCTGCTGTTGCTGTTGCTGCTGTCACTGGTGCTGCTGCTGTTGTTGCTGTTGCTGCTATCGTTGCTGTTGCTGCCATTGTTGCTGTTGCTGCTGCTGTCGTTGCTGCTGTTACTGCCCTTGCTGTTGCTACTGCTGCTGTTGTTACTGTTACTGCTTGTGCTGTCACTATTGCCACTGCTACTGGTGCTGTTGCTTATGATAACAGTGCTGCTGCTGCCATTGCTGCTGTTGCTTGTGGTGCCAGTGGTGTTTCCGCCATCGTTACTCACGTCGCTACTGCTGGCAATCCAAGATTCATTGCCCTTCTCGCTGTTGCTGCTGCTGCTGTTGCTGCTGCTGTTGCTGCTGCTGTTGCCGCTGCTTCTGGTGTTACTGTTCCCGTTGCTGCTGGTGGTAGAGTTTTTCATGCTGCTCTTGCTGTCGCTGCTCCTGCTGCTGTTCCCGTTGTTGCTACTGTTGTTGCCGTCGCTACCGTTTATGCTGCTGCTGCTGCTATTCCCGTTGCTGCTGCGGTTGCTCAGGGGGCTGTCACCTTCTGCCTTTAACAAGAACAACACGGACGGCGAGGAGGAGGAAGAGGAGGGAGAACAGAAGGGTTTACTTTTGAGACGACTCAAAAGTGCTCATGCGGCTCTCACCTTCTGCCTTCGACAAGAACAACACGGTCGGAGAGGAGGGAGAAGGGAAGAGGTGAAAGGAGGAGGAGAGAAGGGGAAGAAGACAGGCACGAAAGGAAGATGGGTTGAGGACATGGAACGGAACATAGATGCAATGGAGGAAATGACTTTTGAGTCGACTCAAAACTCAAGACTCAAAAGTCACAGGCGCGAAAGGAAGACGGGTTGCGGACATGGAACGGAACGCAGATGCAATGGAGGAACGGAAGAGTGATAAAGGCTGCGGAACGCAGAGGAAAAGGCGAATCCAAAAGCGGGCTTCAGATTCAGCTTGGCATTGCGACCATCGTAAAGAGATGGTACTGTTCGTCAATGCTTCGTGAAAGGAGTTGACTTTTGGGACGTCTCAAAAAGCAATTGCAGCTTCGCATGGAGACCATCGTAGAGAAATGGTGCTGTCCGTCAATGGCAATGCCAAGATGCAATTGCAGATCTAATGGCACGAGTCTACAACCATCTCGCTGACACTTTTAACTAGCGTTGCTGGGTTGAACTGGCAGACCTTACTCTCTCTTGCCAGTCGCATGTGACTCGCGTCTGCTTTCAGAACCCTGCTGCTCCTCGCGCCACCATCAGCATGCGAATCCGTTGCTCCGTCCGCATTCCCCCTCCTTCTCTCGAAAGGTCGCCGTTTCGAATCCTCGCGTCGTCTAAGAATCAGCCTAGACGAAACGGCAGGTAGCATCAATGGTGCCGTCTGCTCGTCACTTTGAGCGTCTGCTTTCACGGACGGACTATTATCGGACTCGTCTGGTACCAGGTGAAAAATGAAATGGACGGGACTAGGCGTGGTTGGTTGTGAAGAGGCTTTTATCGTGGATGAATATAGCGAATCTGGTAGTCGCGGTGCACGCGCGGAAATTTGGTGTGCTGCAGACAGAAGCAAGAGCGGGAGCAGCAGCAGGTGCGTGCTCATTAATCGGCAGGAGAGACGTTGCATTACTTCGACAGGAGGCATCAATGCGTTGCGCCGAAATCGCCGTTTCTTCGCCACTGAAGCATCGCTAGACGAAACGTAGCAAGCCTCGGAGCGGAAGGAGGCGTATTAGACGGAGGCAATGTGCACGCCATCGTCGCCATCGTCGCAGTTTATTTACTATAGGTAGCGATGGCGCTTGGAGACCCGTCTCAGAACGTCGCAAGCATCGGAGCAGGAGGAGTTGAGCTAGTCCGAGGCGATGTGTGCGCCATGGTCGCCATCATCGCAGGCAATTTCCTATAGGTGGTACGCTGCTTGCAAAAAATAACAGGTGCTACATTTACGTGGTGTCATCGCCTGGAGATTCTGGCTTGCAGGACAACGGCCATCAAGTCATCGAACTTATTTGGGAGCCTCGTCTTGAATCCCTACTAAGCCTGTCATTTTTCTATTCAGCTACAATTATTTTCTTCAGCGATTCAAGTGACGGCTCGCTCTTCGTGCTCAGGTTATCAGCACGAGTAAAACAGGAGGGGCAAACGCTTGGTGGCGTCCAGTGAGTAATTTCAAACCCATGTTGATGGTCGTCGAAACTAGACAGCTGAACCACGGAACCGCTGGAAAGGTGGGGGCTGGGCCCCAGACAAGACAGGTGGATAGGGAAGGGAACGCAGTGGGATAGGATGGGCTGTGATTGAACGATCGGCACCATCCATCGTGCATTGCTCTTGACCGTCCATCCGTCGATCCTTCATCGTGGTCGTCAATTTGTCCTGCCTTGGGGTCGACTCAACCTATCGTGGTTGAGGAAGTGCGCGGGAAGAGGGGCTGTACAGTCAATCGCCGTCAGTCATGCGCCCCTTCAAATTGGAGCGGCGGCGCAGTCTGTTGCAAGTGGCCCCAGGAGAGGGGATGTGGGAAAGCAGGGCGGAGACGTTACTGTGGAGGAGTATCCCCGCAGTCAGGGAAAGAACCTGGTGGTAGCGAAAGACGCGGCGGAGTGAGCGCCAAGCCGCAGGTCCTTTACTGGCTCCAAACGCTTTACAGCCAACACCTGATACCGGTTTGATGTCGAGCGGAAGTGTTTATGAGACAAATAAACAACCCAACAGACAAACAGATCATGTAGACAATCCAGACTCAGAAGCTGTACACCCTCAATCACATTGAAGCACTAACTACAATGGCAAAATAATTAACCCCAAACAGACATTAGTGAGCACCTGAACCAAAGAGACTAGAACCAGAAGGCAAAGCTCGTGCCACTAACATTTCTGTTCACGAATCCGCGGACCCTGCTCTGCTATCATCATCTGACACAGGCTCCCGCTTTATTTCCAGCTTAGTAAGTGCTGAGTTGGGGCCACGTTCTCTCAGAATCTCCTCATAGAACCGATCCCTGAATCCAGACTCACTCCAGTACTCTTGATATTCCGGCTTCACTCTCCGCACAGGAATGGTGATGGAATACACTGTTCCGATGTCGGGGTCAGCTGACACACTCAGCTGCACGTCTTCTTCTGATTCAATCTCCACGTACGCTGAAATTGCATCGATAATCTTGCGGCGTAGACGCCTTCTCACTTCAGGACTTACTTCCCCCCGATCTGTGTACAGAACAAGCCGAAGCCGTTCTTTGGCAATCTCAGCATTGCTGCAAGAATTCAAGGAAAGAAAGAATGATCAGATTCTTGACCAGGAATGACTCAACTCAGTGGAACAACATAGCAATGACGGATTTCGAAGGATAAGTGTGACTTAGAAAACAGGAAAGTTTACCACCCATTTGCATGCTGCAGTCAACGATATCAATGGAGTAACCAACCTTGGAGGACGATTTCTCGGTGGAAAGATTATCCGCCATGCCCGCTGCAAGCGTTGAAGGAAGCTTAACTCAAATAAATCTTCGTCATCTTCATCAAAATAGGTAGCTCTTACTGCAAAGGTATCACATCAAGGAATAAATAGACATGCTGAAGCCGCGAAACGCAGCCAACTACGACAATTCAGTAAATTGTTGAAGTGGCAAGAGAGCAAATACATACCCGTTAAAGAGCGGCAGGCACCATGCCTTAGCAACGGGGTAGCCCTAAAACCTGAAATTCCGTGAAATCCTGGTGTGAACGCACTTCGCAATGATGTCCGTGAGCGAATCAACGACTGCGGTCGTACTGTTCCTAGTCTTGACTGCAAGCGTATGCAGAAATGAGAACCACGTGAGGAAACATGTCCAAATAAACAGCCTCGAGCGAAAGGTGTGGAGTAACTTATTATAGAATGAAAAAGTAAAGGCTTACCGACGAATAGGTCTGATAACAGTTTGAGGGAGAATGCGAGAAAGCATCTGCGCTTTCAACAGTGCTCCTAGAGGCCCGAGTCATCTCCTCCGGCACTATAGTTTGAATTACCCTAGCAGATGACGACCACATTGCGGGTCGCGCCATTGACTCCATCGATAAACTACCACAAGCTAAGCTGTTTCAATAGCCACCGACTAAGCTCGAGATCTCAAAGCGTCATGGACTCTCCCTTCAGGAACGGCGAGAGGAGGGAGGTAGCCCTTCTCAAATCACACCGCTGCTTGAGCTTCCCTTCAGACCTGACAGGCTCTTGGGCACACAACAGGGGAGAAGGAGCCAACCAGGAACACCGAACGGTATCCGCACTTTAAGGAATTCTCCCGAATTCCTTATCGGGGTTGACTGCTACGCGTACAGCCCGATTTTCTGACTTTGCACGTTCGGCCGATTTCAACGCTGCCGAGGCTCCTCGCGTCGCCTTCGGCATTTCCCATCGCCAAACCTACACCCCAACCTCACTCGTCCAAGGTTTCCTCCTAGCTAGGCTAGCCCCTACATTAGTCTGTGCCTTCATTGTATTCTGAGATCAGTTAATCACAGTCTCGTTATTCGTTTACCTGCGCACTCTCTTTTACAACTCATAACACCTGGTATCAGAGCTACTTTCCTAGTTCACCCCGCTTTTCCGAGGGTAGTTTGGTGGCATAGGGTGCGGCTGGTTTAGTGACTACACGACGGTTGGCTGCAGGGATTGTTAATTCAATCCTGCCCGACTCCGATAGTTCGTGTTTTCACTTGCCTGAAGGCCACGGATACCCGACTGCCCACCAGACGTAGCGCTAGGCACATGGATCAGGAGGCGGTTAACAGGATGATGGCGTAAGTGGCAGAAATGCAGGAGAGCATGAAGTCGTTAATGGCGGAAGTGACTACACTACGTGAAGAAAACGCCGAGCTGCGCCAGA